CTCCGAAAAGAAAAGGGAGGTTAATCTCGCCCTCCCCCCTTTGCCTCCTCCCGACGCGTCGCGACGCTTCCGCCTCTGGCCGCTTCCCAGTCCTCGCGGCGTCGTCCGTCTCCCTCGCTCCTTCCCTCGAGCCGTCTAGCCGTCTCCCTCGTTCCTTCCCTCGAGCCGTCTGGCCGTCTCTCCGTCTCCCTCGCTCCTTCCCTCGAGCCGTCTATCCGTCTCCCTCGCTCCGCCTCTCGGTCCCGCCGGGCCGGGAGAGAAGGCTCGCCGATCGATGAAAGAGAGCTCGGCCACCTCGCGGCGCCTTCTCTCTCCTACCTCCGGCCAGGCCCATCCTCCCTCTCCCTTCCTCTCTCCCAATTTCCAGCCGCCGGAAACTGGCCTTAGACATTCGCTCGCGGTCCATCTTCTCTCTCTCCTTTAATTGGCCGCTCTTAGAGTCGTGTCTCGCGTGCCGATCGCGCGACCGGATTTTCCCCCTTGCCGTTTCCCTACGTAAAAACCGAGGCCACCCAATTTCGGCGTGAATTTTAAATTTAATAACTCCGTGTAACAGGAATACGGAGCCTCAAAGGGAACCGAAGGTACCTTCGCCGTCCCTGAAGAGGTTAACGACGAACGCACGTGCGATCGACCGGGGTGTTACCTCTCCCTCGAGGAAATCGAGGGGAACCCTCCGACCATGAAGAGGGAGAGAGAGAGAGAAAGAGATAGCGCGACATAGTACAGCCCCGAGAACCAGCACCCTGCTCCACTTCGATACGGTTTAGAAACCTGTACCATCGCAAAACGTAGAAGGACCGGAAGAAGGAGGGAGTTTTACAATGACCCCCCAGACGGTGACTCAATTGTTAGCGAAAACGTAAGACCGAAAAAAAAAAAAATAATTAAGAAAAACCAAGAGAAAGGGGGTAATAACTCGACACCGGATGTGCGTTACAGATTTGCATAAGTCCGCGGAAGGGCGGGAAGTGCGCTGTAAGTGCGAGCGAGAGGAGGCGGACCTTTGTTTCTCTTTATGTCTCCCTTTATCGGGGGAATCGCGATTCGGCATCTTTTTTTTCTTTTTTTCAATCGCACACCTGCGTTGAAAGTGCACTTAGGTGCACGCGTTTTCCCCTACCCCCGGAAAAGTGCTGCGCGTGGGAAAATGGAGCGCCACAGGGCGAAGTATAGCCGTGGAGGAGGGAAAAGTGGAGAGGAATGGTGAAAAATTGTGAAAAATGGAGAAAAACACGGACGGACAGGGAGAACGCGGGAACATCGAGAGGGGCCGAGGAAAATAGAGGACGACAGAGCGGAGTGGTACGGAAGCGAGCAACGTGGAGGAGATTAAAACGGAATCGAGCGGAACGAGGTGGCATAGAATGAAGTAGAATGGAGCAGAAACGTAGGAGAGAAGTACCAAATCCGAGCCGTTTACGTAGTGAGCTTAAGGCGAAGTGAAATACGTCGAGGAACTTGATGTTTCGTTAAGGTGGCGCGGAAACTAGTGCCAAAGAGGTCTCGTTAATTAAACCTTTCCTCCTAACCGAGTGTACCGAGTCGCTGCAAACTCGACACTGTGAACACGAAAGACCTTAAGGAAGGTCCGGGATGCCCATAAAAAATTCAATTTTAACACAAACTTGTTTATACTTTCAACATTTTTTTGTAAACGTTTAAAACGAAAAATGCGATACATCCAATACTCTCATAAGTCTCATAAACGATTCACCTTTCTTATGCCACTTCGATATCCCCTTAATTAAAAAAAAATAAATAAATAATAATTATCTCACTGAATCTCGAATAATTTTCTTTCTCCGACATTTCGACAATTTCAATTGATTTTAATGAAACAATGGATCCTTTGAATCGACGAAATATTTCATTTTCGCCCCAATGAATCGTTTCTCTCGGGGGGGGGTTTAAAAAAAATTCCCATACCACGAAAATGGCGGCGCGAGGTAAGTAGGATATTACGGCTCAAAAGCCGGGATAACAACGTGGAGCGGTAAGTGCGACGCGTGGGTGCTCGACATCCACTCTTTGAGGTTAACGCCGGTCAGTTTGGCGACCCCGAGAGAGACCGGCTCGGCGGTCTTTCGAAAGGTATACGCGAGGCCTCGGAAATGGGTCGAAGGCGGACGGGAAGAGCGCGTAATTGGCGTGGGACCGAGGAATGCCGGTCGCGGGATAAGAGGATAAGAGGCGTTTCGCCGGTACGCAAATACGCGGCCGGCCGAAGACGGCCTTGAGGAAAGCTGGGCCGCGAGAGGTACGTCTTCCACTTGCGGCGGGTTCAGGGTCCCTGCGCGCCGATCCCGGCCGCGCAGGCCACTCCCCCGTCTCGCGAGCGACCGAGGCCTCCTATTGGCTGCCGCGGTCGACCGACTCGCCGCTGATTGGTCGGTCCTTCAAACGCTGCGCGCGCACCCAGGTTAAACGGATCTCTAGACCAGTGGACCCTAACCCGTGTGCCACAAAATCGTTACAAGTGTTCCGTATATATATATGTGTGTATAATGTGATATGTATAATATGTATGTATAAATATAAAAGTTAGAAAAAATAGAAAAAAATTAGAATAACTGCGAAAGCCATTTGTATTCATATACATTGCATATTTGTATTGATACTTGTATGGTTTCATAGATTTGATGTCCAGGAGATCTGCCGTATAATCAAAAGTGCTCGGCGAGATGAAAAAGGCTAAGACCCCCGCATTGGATAAAGGCACTGAGCCGAAAACCTTGCGATAACCTATGAGACATGTCGATACCCGGCGATTTTGAAATGTTTAAAAAGTTGGGGGGGGGGGGGGAGGATAGTGAAACTCGGTAAACCTCGTGATTCGATATAAAAGGAAATGTAGCAAAAATTCCCGTCGTCTAGTTGAGTGATAATTGATAGTACATCCAGTGGATTGCCGAATAATTAGCTCGGCCGCTGCAGCGTTTGCAGTCCGGTAGCCGTTCGATAATCCCATCCTTAAATTGTAGGGAGGACATTTGGACGTGTGTCGATTAGTAAATGTCATTGCTCCGGTTTGAGTATAACGTCTTTACACCGTACTTCATTATGCCCGTTCGGCATGTAATGTAACGCAATTAAAGCCGTAACTCATTTACCATGGAAATGTCAGTTACCTATGGTACACTGTCGATGCAAACGCGTGTCCGTATCGGGGGCTCGACAGACCCTCAGGTAACGACTACAGGTAACGATGACGTCACCGGGAGTTTCGCAACGCCCCTCTGCCGTATTTCCCCGAGTCACGGGACCGCCGGCTCCCAACGCCCGCCGACCGTCGAATTACGAGCTCGCCGAGGGAAATGATTAGCCCGCGGGGTCAGTTTTTACATTTATTCCGGAAAAGTACGAGAAAAAAAAAACTGAAATAAAATAAGCCCCCCCCATTTACGGCACGTCAGTAGCTCCCCCGTGAGTAACGCGTGCCGCGGGGTGTACATACGTCGTAAATGGTTCACCCGTATCCGCACGGTCGTAAAAAAATTCCGCTCATTGATCCGTTCGAGATATCGACCAATCGGAGGCGGCCGAGTAACCGAGGTACAAAGATGGAGTTACCGATTTCTTTTCTTTTCTTTTCCCCGTGGCAATGCCGTGAATACCTAAACCGGGGCCGTTATGTCGGCGGAAAAATCCTGGCGGAGGGAAACGGGATCCCGGGATGTCGGGCGAGTCGACCGCTCTCGCCGGTAAAGCACGCAGTCGGCCGATGACGTCACCGCCCGCCGTCGGGTCCACGTCGCCACGAGGCCGTCGAGGAGCTCGCTGCCGCTCGTGTCAAGCGTGAGGCGTGCCACGCACGGCCCCCGGGCTCGCGAGTCGCGACACGCGGCTCGGCGACGATTTTTCGCCGGCGAGCGGGCAAGATGGCGGCCGCCCTCGGCACTCTCCTCGCCGCGCCGTGTGTGACGCACGCCACGCGCGAGGCGGCGCGCGCGAGGGAGAGAGAGCGAGCGGCCGGACGGGAGAGGGACGGAGACGGAGCGAGCTGCCGCCCGCGGACAGCGCCGCGGGGACGATTCGCGTTCACCGAAATCGATGTTGGCGCCGATCGGGCTTGACAGCGTCCCCCGGACGGTTGGACGATCGGCCCAGGATCGCGCGACCGATGTTCGGGAGAAAGAGGCGAGGCGCAACGACGACCGGCGCGACCGTCGGCCCCGGGCTACGGGGTCCACACGGCTCGAGGCGGACGAGCCGCCCTCGACGCACCTCCGCCGTATTTGTCGCCTCATCCGGTCGTCGCGACGCGCCCACCCTCGGCCTCCTCCCGCCGATCCTAACCTACGACTCTCCTAATCTAGGTACTCACCTTTCGAGTGCAGAGAACGCGCTGGGAAATCGAGGCTTCGGCAAATTTCAACGGCTCCCGTCCACTACGATCTCACGGAGTGCACTGGCGCGACAAGCGGAAGCCGCCATCTTGGACTGCGTTCACTTCGCCGCTTCCGTCGCTTCAAATGCGCGCGCCAAACGCGCCGACGGTCATTCTCGATCGATGACCCTTTTCAGGGCTTTTCAGGGCTTCTCAGAGCTTTTCAGAGCTTCTCATCATCTTTCTTCGAGGCTGATTTTTACTTCACCGTCGAAATCCTGAGCACTGTTCTGGATCTCTGGCCTTTTGCGAGAAAACCCGGATATGGAGTGCTGGTCATTTCGACGCTTCTATCGCGGAGATGAAGGAAATTAGTTAAATTATTGGATTTCGGATACTTTTCATAAATAACTTAATAATGGTGATTTGTAGCAGAGGTGAATACGGTTTGTTCCATTCAGGGAGAGTGCTTTGTCACGAAAAATACCCACTGTCGATGCAATGAAGATTTCGGCAGTGACGTAACGTGTGTTTATTAGATTCTTGTTATTATGTTATTAAGCTCACATTTCCGAATAAAATTTCATTGGAGCTATTTCAATCAAGAAATGAGTAAAATAATAAACGCAGCCTTATGATTAGAAACACACTTAATGCCATCTGGCGGCGTGAGTACGTATTACTTGAGACAATTCACGTGGTTGCTAGAAGAGCTTTACGATTATTTATAAATTTACTATTTAAAACGATCGAGACTTCTTCAACGCCATGCCGAAATCAAAGAGGGACAAGAAAAGTAATTCTTCGGCATTTTATATTCATTTTTGCCCACTACTTTGTGCATCTCAATGGACCGCTTTCAACCTAACCTAATTTATTTGTATTGTATTTCTTGTAATTTATTTAGAGCCTTTTGATATAGATATTATTAAGTTTGTTAAGTTGACAGAGCACCTTAGTCCAATCACAAATATATTTTGCTTAATTATGATATAGGTTCTATATTTACTGATTAATTTTATTTCAGTTTCTCTCACGAAGACGAGTAAGAAAGGCCTATTGTTGAAGCAACAGATCGTTGAAGATATTCGATACTGTGTGGAAAAGTACAGTAGAATATTCTTATTTTCCGTGGAAAATATGCGCAACAATAAATTGAAAAGTTTGAGAAGCGAATGGAAAGACAGTAGGTTCTTCTTTGGGAAAAACAAAATTGTGGCATTAGCCTTAGGTACGAGTCCCGAGAAAGAAGTTGCAGATGGTTTACATAAGTTGTCAAAAGTATTGAAAGGACAGCGCGGTCTCTTGTTCACGAACAGATTAAAGAAAGAGGTAAAGAGAAGATTGATTCAATGTAACCAAGCCTAACTTTCTCACCTACAACTATTATAATTACATTTGGTATGTTGAACAGGTATTGAAATGGATGGAAGATTACAGAGAAGATGATTATGCTCGTTCAGGTTTCGTCGTAGATGAAACTATTGTGCTTCCTGAAGGACCTTTACCAGACTTTCCCCATAGCATAGAACCTCACCTGCGGCAACTTGGTATGCCAACTGCATTAAAAAAAGGAGTTGTCACATTACTTAGAGAGTACGAAGTTTGCAAAGAAGGACAAACCTTAACGCCCGAGCAAGCTAGGATACTTGTAAGTATCAAAAATAATGTAATAAGTAAGATATATTAATAATTGTTTATACATGACATAAATTTTACAGAAACTCCTTCAAACACCACTAGCAACATTTAAATTAATACCCATTGGGATATATACAAAAAAAAATGGTTACAAACACCTTATATCGGATGAAAATTCACTGGAAAATAACATTGAAGAGGGAATGGAAACAGAAGATGCAGAAAAAACGTGAACCATATCGTTTCTAATACTGAATAAAGTTGTATATATTAAAACTAATTTTTTTTAATGTAATAAAAAGTATACCGAACACGTGCAATAGAAATTAATTCCTTTCATTATTTTTTGTACAACATTCGAACACATGCTTGACTAATCGTATAATAGATAATTTCATGTAAAACAAAACTACTAGATGCCCTATTCCTTCAAAATAATATATGAATGTAATAAGACAAGTGACAGACTAGACATTCGGTAATATAAAACATTTAAGAAAGGATTAAATTTTTAGTTTTTCAAATAAATTGTTGCACTTTTGACAAGAAATTTGCACAGAATAGATAACGGTCACCATGACTTTCCCCATAGCTTTCGCTATATTCTGGATCTGTGGCATAATGTGGGTTAGTGATACGTTCAAATTTCTTAGCCTATAGCGTTTATATAATTTGCTGATGACAAGTCATATGGAATATAATAAGTTGAGAATAAATTATAAAATTGCTTTCTATTCAGGGCGCATATTATTGGTTCCATGAGCGCACGGGAGATATAGATACGGAAAAACTAAAGGCTGATTTTGAAACTAAAAGAAGCGCAACCTCTATCGATTCGATGGATATAGCAGATCACAATAACTCTTCCAAAAAGAAAAAACGCCGGATTGATTACGACGTACGCAATTAAACTGTACTTTCCTAACTACAGCATTAATTAAGAATTCTTACACTTATTCACACCTTTAAATATTTCAGAGCAAAACACGATGGCCCAGCGAAGTCTCTGTAGTTGAAAATGAGTAGTACGATATGACATCCAACATCAATTCCTATCGTTATCAGTTGTTCAAAATGATCATTGTAAAGAAGTTACCTTTAAAAGTGTCAATTATTTGTTAAAACTCCTAAATTCTTCACCGAGTACAACAGAGACGTGTAATATATTTTAGATGCTAGGAACCTGTGTATCTTATGCCATTTACTTTATTCCAAGAAATATATGAAGACTACAAAGCATACCACCGTTACATCAAATGATTTTTAGCATTAGAAGGCTCTAACGATGCGCGATTTCGTGTAAAAGGGTAACGTTTACATGCCGAGCTTTGAAGACTAAATAGTTGAGCACTTGTTTACTATGAACGTACGAATGCTACGCAGATGTGTGATTACATTTTATAGTATGGAAGGTGAACATAAATATTTCATCCATTGTAAATAAATCATATCCTAATGCCATTATACATTAAATTAAGTGAGATCATAATTGCGCATTCGATGTAGTAATTAGTAACAGATGAAATTTGATAACAAATCCGACTTAAGTAAATCTTGATTTACATTTTATAGGTATTTCGAAAGAAAAGAAAAATCAAAGTGAATCATCTTCAATTCAACATTCACTTTCTAATAATCGCTAAACTAAATAAGTGTGTAGAACAACGAGAATGCGTTGAAAGCACAACCCTCACTTGTGATTTGGTATTACATATTTAGTTACACATACAATAATGACTAGTTGGAAAGAATAAGTGTGTAATTCGAATTTCTTTTGAATCTTATTCCATGTTATATGTGCACCTTATGAAATACTCAATAATGGCATAACAGTATTCCTAACTTAAAAACGTAAACAAATAAAGCTACAAAGGAACTAAATTTATTTACCGAATATGATTAACAAAAGATAAAATATTATTATAAAATAAATACGTTATATATTTCACAGAAATTAATATATATAACGCACTAAATTTATACTATATATGTATAAATATACACACTTTACAAAATGATAATAAACCTAGCATTTGCTATATCAATGAGAATTATAATATGAAATGTCTTCATCGTCTTTCTTCGGTACACATCTTTCGAGCCTTCAATCGATAGTACTGCAAATTAGCTTCCATATATCCTGACATTGTTATATCGTACAAGGAAAATGAATGAATCATTTTTCATGGCGTACCTAAACGCAACGGTAATAAAAAAAAAAAAAGAAGAAATTCTTTGGTACGACGCAATTATAATTTCACTTTAGAAAAATAAGTATCTACAGAAATTGAGACCTCAATTAAACCAGTCTCTTCCAAATCCGAGAATTATACCTTTATGTTAAGGAACATTAAGAGTTACGTCTTATAAAGTTATTGCCAAACCTCGAAGGTAATCGCAATCAAATAAATACACACCTTACGTACCCAACATTCAAGGGAGGTGAAAATACATTAGAGATTTATCTACAATAACGAAATCCCATACACCTCTATCTTGAAGACCCGATTTTCTAAAGTAAGATGCCAAGTACAAAATGGGAATTAGACAATCATTCAGTAGGGCTGCCAAATTGTCATATTGAATAACTAGCATAATCTATAGTGCAGAACTTGCATCGATACCTCTGTCAGTTTATCATGGAATTTGTAATTCACCGGAGATATTGATGCAATTACCTCTGGTATACACGACAATTCTCCGTACATGTAATTAGTTCTCGGTACAACATTCCTGTCCGTCTCTTTTAACGCGTTGAACTATTAACACTAGTACTTTAAATTAATTACCGTGTATACAAGAAAATCACCGCGAAAGTACGACATCGTTCTATCACATTTCAAGCGTTGACATTCGTCTACATTTATGGCAATTTGACAACAGCACGCCAACTAAATCGAGATCTGGTACAAAAATAAATATTAATCTTTCGAATTAAAATGGACATCGGATAGGTGTTCCATATCTAAACGAGTTGACAATCGAAGCTTATCCAACTAACAATGACAATGTGGTAATCACATATTAATTTCGATAGAAATGACGGTCGAAATCTTCACCTCTTCCCTCTTCAGACGTCACATGCGTGAAGTAATCTCTCATGGGAATTATCGGTACAAATTACCCAACCGCAGACCAAACCAACCTTACATGCAAACAATTCGATAAATAATTCCTATCAATCGTACTTTAACCGAGGGAGAGAAAAAAAAAATCTATTTCCAATTCCATAAAAAAAATTGATTCAGGTGCTCCACGATTACTTTTACGTTTTACAAGTTTGCATATAAGCGGTACGCTATAATTCGCCTCGCAAGACCGATTGCAATGCATTAAGCTTCTAGGCACAATGCGACCAATGGCTGGTGCGAAAATAATGAGAACAAAACCCTGAATAAGATGGAAAAAAAAACGTCGCAAAATTTAACATCTAATTCAAACATGTATCATGTGTGTCGAGAGTCATTCTCGATTTAATCATTAAGGACCCAACGCGTTTATAAAGACCGCAACGTTTTTATCATCGACATTTGTCGCAGCATCCGGCTCTTTTCGTACTTTTTTTTTTCCTTCGTTCATCACAGTTCAAAGTAATCTGCATCTCTCTTTAAAGTTATACCACTCGATCAAATGAGACAATCATTTAAGTAAATTAATATATAAATGGAAATCGTCTCTGTGCGCGACTTCCTTTCATAAAAAAGCACCTCGGTTTGTCGCACCAGCCAAGAAACACTATGCTCGTACGTAGAGTATAAAAGTTAGCTACAGAGGACAATCACCATTATCGCATTACGAGCAAGAGGATTATTTTACCCAATTGTAAGCATTACTTATTGGGTCGCCTGAGTTTCGGCACTGAGCGCCTCAGATTTCGGCAACTCGGAGATCGGTTCTCGCCAGTATGCAAAACTGCTGAACTCATCGGAAGCATCCTCCCTCAATGGCGGAAAGAGGTGATCCACTATAAAGCTCATATTTGAATACCTGTAATCATAAAAGAGTAACGAATGAACAAACAGCCAAGTCCCTCTTGCCGATAGTGGTTAAATACGTTGTCATGCCGAGCAAGATGATTAGCTGAAATCGAATGACTTTTGACTCGACGTCACTTCCACCGAAACGGTATATCGTATCTAAATGATCATTGCAAATATCTACACGACATTAACTTCTTATCAGCGGATTACTCAATATCGCATCGGACGTAACCGGGATCATATGTGTTACGAACGACGTAGACTTCTTCTTTGCAGAAGATATTTCCCGTATTAATCAACGCAGTTACCTCCATCACCCGTTATCATATATATTTGCTTATCACCTTAATGAATAACCATGAGCAAATTTCTAAAACATAGATCTTGCTATTTTTTTTTTTTTGTGATCCATTAATAGTCATGTCAAGAAACCTTTTGGTTTTATGACTGTTTTGACGAGAAATGATATTAACATTTGTTTACGGCTTTTTACTTTTTTTTTTTAAATGATAGATTCATAGAAATTATAAATCAAAATACACTCCTCTTTCAACAAAGAAGCAATTGAGACATCAAACGCGACTGACCGACAGGCGCTAATTGTTATTAAGTATATTTTTTTTTTGCAATCGCAATGTCACGTGCGGAAAGCTTTGATCACTTGGCAGAATGTACACGATTGCGAAATATGTTATGAATACTGATTACATCTACTGATTACTGATTACTGATGATGATCAGTCATTGATAGCCAGAGGAACCCCCAAAGCGACATAAGGACACGTCTTACTAGATGAAGTAAATTATTATAAATATAACGTCGTCCTAATGGAGTTCTGATGTACAAATAATGCATTGGTGTGATACCTTCCACCGAATGAATTATGGTCCTTATCGCCGTATAAATGCCTTCACCTTCCTAAAAGTTAATGTCTTCTGAAAGATTCTAATCCTGTGCCGTAAACTACTGAAGTATGGATATGCATGAAAGCAGAGACATTAAAAAGCAAACGTGTACTGTCAACTGCTTACCCTATAAACCATAAGAAGATAGGTGGGAGTAGATGCACAACCAAATACGTCAGCGAGATGTGAAACTTGAATAAATTCTAATACTGAAATATTACCCTAATAGGTACGAGTAAACATTAACTCAAGTCAGGCCATTGGAAACCAGAACGACTTGCTTCGAGCAATTTCTTTTTTCAGTCAAAGATTCTAATTGCTTATATAAAAATACGTATTTACACATGGCACATGTTCCGTGTTAAGTCGGAAGATGTGTATAAAATATCGTCTCTCGCGTATATTATATTACTATACGATATAACAAATATCGCTAAGCATTCAGGCATTAATATTGTACTGTGGCTTTGGAAATATGGAATTCATTGTAGCAAGATCTTTGTACTCTCAATTCGATGGAAATTCTATAAAAATATAGAAGACCAATGGCATCGATAAGAAGCTAAAACAATGTTAAATATTCTGTTACAGTGAAAACTGTAGGGCTGCGCATCAACATCAGTTACAGTAGACACCTGACATGGCCGGTGGCGGGAACAATTCATTGACGATACCGCTCTGACACTCATAGCTGTAACCATACAAATAACCGGCTTATAAAAACCCATCCTAAAATGATCTTTCGATCGGCCAGCTCAAATGGCAGATATTTCATTTGACGTTGTTATTGTTTTTCCCTTCTTGGCACGGATTAACACTGCCAAGCTGTCCCTTGTTACTGCGTTAAGGCTACATCGAAGCATTCCAGGCATTTCATTAATCAAGCGCATCTCAAACATTTAATATCCGCATACTAAGGAAAGCTAATGGCTCAAAAAGAAGATTAGTAATTTTAGTAATCAGTATTAATGGTTTTAGCCTGGGCGGCCGTTGTCATAAAAAATGCATCGTTTTTCGGCATACCAACAAAGCTATTTTCCTAAAGGAAGACCATACATACGCAAGTTGCGAATAAATCAACCAAGTTAAACAGTACAGGGTGCATCGTAGATTGTTCGTAAATATGTACTTACGAAGATTGGAATGTTTGAGTCAACTCATGCTTCAATTCACCGCGATGATTAATGGTGAAAATTCGCATTATGGGAATGCCTACAGCTCGATACGCCCACACGTCCTATTGTAAACACAGATGTATTAGAATTTGACACTACGTGGAGAATAGAACACGACGGTTGAATGTTGTTAAAGAATAAATGTTATCTCAGACTTTCTTATGTCTCGAGCAAGGATACATTAGCCTAATTATGATTTGATTGGGCTTTGCTTTAGTTTAATACTTACATTAATACGATTTCCATATCCTGCATAGAACGGATTCGAGTCCTCGGGGAAAAGAGCCTGAATATCACTCAGGCAAGATATTTTAAACTCTTCAGGTTTTTTCTCAATTACTTCACGATGGAATGCCGAGATTAAGCTCGTCGGATTCAAAAGCAACGGACCTTCGGGAAGAGAAAGGTCGCCTTGCTTAATGCTCTTTAGGTACTCCCTGGTGACCCTAGCTTGCCCGATCGCTCTGGCAGATAGGTACAACAATTTGTACCCGTTGTTCTTGATTTTCGTAAAAAGCTGAGCAACGCCAGACTGCGCCCAATCTTTCCCGACAATAGGAAGGATGTGTCCAAGAACGTCGGATTTCGTTATCGTCCCGTCAATGTCAGATATAACGATCTTGTCATCCCAGCGCCAACGATAGATGTGGCACTTGCATCTTGTAGTTCCTTGATAAGCTGTAGTTACACTGAATACTACTTCATTGGCGCCTTCCTTCAATCCTAAGCTGGCCTAAAATATATAAACCAATATTAGGAGATAATAATCAACCCCTTCGATGCACAAGAGTTATTTAACTTAGTACGCACGATTTGCTCCGATGATAGTCTAAGAGTTTTTCGGTACTTTTCAGTGGATTCGTAATACGATCTCCTCTCAATCGGTATCTTAACGCCTTGCGTCTCATTCTGATTACTATCAGAGTCCTCGCTTCCGCTATACCCTTCTCCTTCCCTGTCTTTCTCAGTCTTTCGAAGTTCTGAGTCAGGAAGGCAAGTCTGTTCTGACGTCTCTATCGTGACAAGAGTTTCTTCGACTTTCGTATCCCTGGATCATAATTCTCGGTTAAGATTCTTCAAATAAATCGTTAACTTCGCGTACTTCCGCTGTTATTCAACTAAATGCTACTTACATATCAACGGTTGTACTTTCTTCTATGGTCATCTCTTTTACGTCAGAAGTTTGTTCGGAAGGTGGAATAGTAGATCCATCTACTGAAATGTAATTTTAATAAAAATAACCTGATAATTTTGAGAATTACCACTAGGTATAACGAGTTGTACATATTTAATTAGAGGGAATACTTTTTATCTAGTTAGAGCGTCACCTTCGCTTAAGCCCTGGGGTTTCTGAGGTGGTTGACTAGAACGTCTCCAGGAGAACCATGAACTGTAACTGCGACCTTCGACCTTGTTCTGCTGCTTCTTCGGTTCAAGAACAGGCAACGGCATGTAGTGAGCATAAAGGCTCTCGAGAGTTGATTGCGGAAGAGGTCTTTGAAAGACTGCTAAAGTCATAATTATCGGACAAGCGGTTGCCCAGTTGTAAAATTTCCCATTAATCTTCACAACTAAATTTGGATTCTCGTATAGTTTAGGGTCGGCGCAGAGATCTTCGAAGTGTAACAAATTCTGGTGGAAAGCATCCTCGGTTGGACCGTTTTCAGTCTCCACACCTCCACACAGAGAAAGAGATACATCGATGTGGCCATCGAATGCAGGATTCTTTGATTCCTCAAAATCGCTGTCCAATGATTTAGGACCGCCAATAGCTCCTTCAACGCTGTTCGGGCTTTGCGGCAAACTTGGACCATTGCCGGACTCCGTATCTTCCTCGTCCACATTTTTTGCTTCTGTGAATGAGATGTAATTTAAAAGTCAGACAATATGCACATCAATACATGATATGAAGATAATTAGTTAAAATGTATCAAGTTCAAAAAGATTTTAACTTTGAGAATATTAAACTTACAAACGAGGGAAACGTTATTGTAAACTTTCAATCGGAACACATTATATGAACAACCACAATAATTATTCTAATTAGGAAAATTACCTTTCACTGTAACGCACAAGCGATACATGGCGATTAATGTAACACCGAAACTAAACTAATTGCTAGGAGTTTAATGACGTTGCGACAGGAAAGATGAAGCATTGCTCCCAAAACCGAGGAATGATATTATAGCTGTTTGCTAGATGTCACAGTTAATTACAAAGCCAAAGTTCCTCGGTAATTACAAACAACTGAGTTAGGAGCAGCACCTAAAGCAAGCTGTATACCTTTGGCAACCGCTGCTCCACGATGGGACGAAGGGAAATACAAAGCTGCGACTTCGGGATCCAGTTCATCGGCATTAAGGTCGCTCAGATAAATTCCTTCTGACTCTGGATTGTGTCTTACACGAGAAGTCTTCTTCATAAAGGAGAACATGCCACTGAGCATAGATCGGTGTGCCTCTGCTGCCATTGAAAAAGCAGTTGGCCAACGGTTAGTGGAAAGTGGTAATAAGCAATCAAGGAATAATAGTTAGGTTTGTTAGGAGGTCCCTAGAGTGCCGAATTCACTTCAGGCTTCCAATGACATGTTACAAACAAGAGACAAGAGATTTTCCTGACTAATTAAATTAAAGAAAAATGTGATGTGGTATATTCACGGACGAGCACGTATAAACTGGAACTTCGACAAATGGAAAGAAATAGTGCAGTTGTATGTAATTTCTTTGTACTAACTATCGTTCGATTGTGTTACGGCGGTTGAAGAATTCATCGAGTTTCTATGGGAAGAATGACTCGACTCGGGCGGAGGACTTGGTAATTCTCCCCATCTCCAGCTTTGCTGATGACTTTTTTCGCCATCCCTCTCCTCATCTTCCTGTGTAATTTTGCGCATTTCGAATTCCGTATCGGACTGTACTGGCGAACACGGTCTAGAATCTCGATTCCTAAAAGAAGACCAAGCAAATAGATAATTACCTCTTTACTACTTATCAATTATACTAATCTACTATTTTTCTTCGCTAAAAAAATTACATCGGCAAATGTAATTAACAGTGTATGCTTACTTGGTAACTTCGGTGTCACTAAAGAAATGAAAATCTGTCTCTCGGTGGGGTTCCTGGACGAATGTTGATGGAGTTAATGGTTCCGAAGCATTTTTCGTTTCCACTTCAATAATTGGACTCGGTCCCTTGAAAGCCTAATCATGATAGTCATCAATACACATTAAAATAACTAATGTGTACTTATTCAAATTCTCTACTACTTACAGGTTCACTTTGAGATTCTTCAGCGGGTACACTATCAGCTTCGCTCATCTCGGTTTGACTACTGCTGCCATTGCTAGCTTTCCTCTGAGCACCTTTCTTCTTTGTGACACTCTTCCTCTTTCGCTTCCGCTTTGAACCATTACCAACTTTAGGTTCCTCTATGACTTCATCTTTTAAACTCTTCTTAGCCAAAAATGAATTCGATTCATCGCTAGATTTCTCCTTGCTACTATTTTGCGGATCTTCCGTAATAGGACGAAAATCATTATTAACGACGCTAATTTTCCGAATTCTTTCGGATGAAGTAACAGCAACAAAAGATTTCGGCGTTGACACAGTCATTCGAGGTTCATCCTCGTTGATCCCTTCCATATTGAAAATATCTTCCTCCTCACCCTTTGAAACAAGTGGCTTACCTTCTTCCCATTTGTCATTTTCTTGCCAGTCACTTAGCAGTGCCTTTTCGAACTTTTGCCTCTGCTCTACTGGTAGTTCAGGAAAGTTCTCTTTAAACAGTCTCTCTTTTTCTTCAGTTTTCAAGGCAGAATACTGTTCACGAATCATCTGTTGCTTTTGCAAAGTAGAAATCGTACCAAAACTTTCTCGAAAGATGCTCTCTCGCTCTTCACTGGTCAGGGAAGCTATTTGCAGCCACTTTTCACGCTGTTCCTCGGGAAGATCGGCAAATTGTTCGATTAAAAACTTCTCCCGCTGATCGGGTGGCAATGCACACATTTGATCCCATTTCTCACGCTCTATCGACAGTACGGAATCTCTTAAAATTTTTTCATGATGTTCTTGAGGTAAATCAGACAGAAGATGAAATCTGCGAACATAGAGTTTGCAAAATTATAATGTTACTGTCATCAATGAACATATGACTTTAATTAATCACTTTTCTTTTTATCCAACATGAATTTTCATTTCTGTATAAATGATGAGTAATATTTTCACCTTGATGGAGGAAAACAACTATCATCAGGAATTGGTGAACAAGCCAAATGTGGTGGTATCTCAGAATCTGCTGGTGATCCTGCGGAACCTACTTCTTGAACAAAGAATGCCTCTCCAGAATCTCCCAGTTTCATATGAATTTGTCTTGGTTCTCCATTGATCTCAATGTCAACCTGCAGAAGTTATAAATGGATTAACTATAATAAATGCCTTTAATAATTTCAACTTCAACGTTATTCCTTGTTTCATAAAATATCACCATCATTGTATGCATCTATTCTGATGAACTACACTTAATTACAGATTAGATGATGTCAAACATTGCATTATGCTAACGACAAGACTTTGAACTGTTGTAAGAAATTACAGTATGGACATAAGAACAGATGATTCATAACACGATAAAATAAATACAAAGTCATGTTAAGGATTAATCTTTCATACTCGTTATCGAGTTATCTAAACAATAGCATCAGTTATAACAGTTCATATTTAAATATAGATTTCTTCAAATAAGATAATTAATTTCTAATTTCTTGCAAAGAAATATTAGATAAAGAAACGGAATCATACCACTTTTTCTCTGGATCGTAATACACCCAGCTTGCCGAACCGAACGTGAAAAGGGGAGCAAGCGAAGGATCCATCTGGTTGCTCGACCACGACCACGTCAATAGCTCCGGTTAGCGTCGCAGCATTGATCTCATTGTAGAAGTCTCTAAAATTACTAAGGAACTTGCCAAAGTAGTTCATGCTGTACATCGTACAGTCGATATACCCAATGGGTCTCTATCTAACAGAAAATCCCTCTGATCTCCCGAGTTCTCTCTTCGAGTATAAGATCCGGAACGTGTGCAACACGACAGAGTCCTTGTGTCGTCAGTAATCGCTTCCGAATGATCCCAATTTACAACAGAGATCTGAAATATCCGAATTTGAAAACAAGCGTCATTGATGAAGATTTACCTGACCATAGCGAAGGACTCACCAGTGAATATGACGCGTAGACGATGATGACACTTCACCAAACAACTTCACAGTCACTTCGAGAGTATTTTCCAACCTTCAGGATGCTCCTGGAGAGTAGAGAAGCGTCGTCGCAACGTCAACGAAGAAATACGTGGAGGCGATCTGTCAAACCGCCGTCGTAAAGCCGGTTCTAAGTCGTTCTGACTGAATGACGAAGTCCCGGGACGACTTGCCACGGGCTGAGCTTTATCGACTTCATGAGTTGAAGGATGTCACCTCGATAACCAGCAGTGGCGGAGACACGCTACCAAGTGGCAGTACAAAAAAAAATGTAATCCACGGAATCCTTTGTTCCCTCGGCGACCCTACGCGGTCCGTTGAGGAGTCCGCTTGAGTTCGTTCGGCAGCAGCAGACGGTGGTCGAAGGCGTCCGAAGATAGCCGAAGGTTGCCGACGGCGGTCGAAGGAGACGGCCGCGGGTCACGTGGTCAGGCGCCACCCAATCAGAGCGCTCGACGCAAGGTGGTCGATAGAATAGCGCACCACGTGATCGGCGACGGCGCGTGGCGCGGATTTCGTCTCAGTGAACAAGCTGCAACACAAAAAAAAAGGAAAAAAAAACGGATTCTTCAGTGTCACCGAAATTGATAGTTCCTGCGCGAAAGGTAATCCCGTCCATAAACGACGCATCGATAGCTGCCTTTATTATGACGATTTAATATAAACATGATATAGACAGGATCTTAATATAGTGCACATTTTTCATGCCTATAATAGCGCATTCCAGGAACGGCTTTCGCAAGTATCGCTCTAACTTGAGAGCCCCTCCTCGTTGTCGAGAAATTGCTCTTCGACGCAAGCTGAGTGGAAAATAACTGCAGGGAGGAGGTAAGGTCGGAAAAGGTCCTCCCAAGGGAAGGGTAATAAATTGTTCCACTTTCCACCGTGCTCTTATCAATTAATCCCGAGGCGAGTCCTTGTCCGCAGGTCGAAGCGAGGCTTTAAGCGGACGAGCCCGGATTATTCTTGGACGTTAAAGGCGATCTACGTGGGTGATGATTGAATGGCTTCCTGCAGAATGAACTCGAACACGTCAAGGGCGTTTTGTACTACGCGAAAATACGTGCGTCACGGGGATCTGTCAATCACCGGCAAGCACAAATCACTGAAACTACGGATGATCTCAGTTTCTCTCAAAGAAGCCATAGCAGAAGCGTAATACCAGCGGAGTAAGTACCGCTGGAAATACGATTAAGGAGTTACATAATCACCTAATGGTTCGCTGATCCTACGAGGAAATGAATGCCTACAACAAGCTGCAGAACAAATCAAGGCCCAAAGATACGCGACGACGATAAACCATGCAAAGTTTCCTAACGTTTGCATCATCGGCGCACCTATATAAGGCCATGCAAATTTCGACCATAAAGCAATAAGAACAAAAAAAAATAAAACCATTCGCACGAGCTGGAAGCCGATGAATAACAACGTTTTCCTTTTATTTCTAGATTTTCTTCCCGTTGAATGAAAAAGAAAAAAGAAGAAAAAAAAATAGTACCGGCACGAAATATCCGCTAATCCGTAAAAATACGTCGCGTTAAGCCGATTTCAATATATGTACACATATATACACGAAATCTATATTTTTAACCCGATCGATCGGTGTCACGTTAGGCTAGCTTTTGTCGGAGGAACAATGACCGCCGCGCGGTACCTAACAGCGAACTTGTACATGCTTGCGGTATTGAACGCATTGAACGTATTGAACGTTGCACCTCCCCAGGTGTACAGACCTCTTAACCATTCGCGCAATACCCTCTGTAGCAAGCCGCGGTACACTCGCCGCAAAGAATTCCCGTTCTGCCGCAATGCACCTGCAGAAAGCCCCGACCGATCAATCATCTACACGCGAAAAATCGCAAACACCGGGGGAAAGAAAAGAAAGAAAAGAAAGAAAAATCGAAATTGAAAATCATCGAACGATAGGCTGGAAAATTCCCCGATAGAAAATTCATGCTCATCGTATGACGTGGGAGAATCGATTTGCAAACGATTTCCTGTACGAAATATCTACGATGTATGTATTACACAATAAATGGCAAGAAAATTTCTCGGTAAATTTGTCACAAATGGTTGTATCAATATATTTATCGCACACATTAATCATATGTGTAAATGTGTAAAGTGAGGACTCACAAGCAATGCGGTCATGACTCGTTTCATGATCTTTTATGAGGCAAATTTTGGGCAAATTTTCCATCACCTTGTCTATCTGGATTGTCTCATTTCGTGAATGCAACCGAAGTATCTCGCGAGTCACCTTCGCGGAGAACAACCACGTGGAAAAGGGTCACTCGCTTTCTTAAAGCTTGCGTAAAGAGAACGTAACGAGTGCCATGACCAGCTCGGTAATATACGCGATTGTTACCGCCACTCGAAAAACAGGCCTAACGATAATTTTCAGGTAAACTCGAAAACCGCCGAAGGACGCAAAAACCGGAACCGATCGAATGCTCGGCGAGAGACATCGAGATTCCGTCAAATACTTTCAACCTCGAGGCTGATCGTGAGCGGCAATTAAAAATAAGAGGACATCGGAATACATTAATTGAGCCTGCAGCTGGATAACTTGTGTCAAGGCTGGCCTTTCGTCTCGCTAAAAAAAGGAGCGCTGTTTACGAAGACTCTTAACGTGTGTATTTTTTTTTTTTTCTGCAAGAGCTATACAGAGAAGTCGACGTCCACGCGTAGAATGAGTCCAGGAACCGTGCATACGATTAACGCGGGAAGAGGACCCACGTAATCATTGATGCAAATCAGACGAAATTTATCGCAGAAATTACGCAAGCATAAGTATATAATAGCAGGATATTCCAATGGTAATCTCGCTACCTTCCTCGAGGAGTGTTTACCTCGGTGTAAACTATATAAAAGGTGGGAACTAACGTGGAGAGTACCGGTACGGTGCCCTACTGCCCGATACGGGAAAGTTTCACTAGAATTTATGAGACTAACCCACTAGAGAGGGAGTCCAACAATAGTCATCGACCTATTTTCAACAAATACACTAGTTGAAGAGTTCATACCTACGTCGACGCTTACTTAACGATTAATCGTATGAATTCGCAACATTGCTGTCGTCACTTTTCGCCACCTCGAGTCACCATGGCTTAACTTGAAATTATTTTCAAAGTTTAATAATTTTTTTTTCTGAATTAATGTTTTGACTTTTCGTATAATAATTGTTAAATTTATTTAGCGGTATCATTTTCCTCCAGCTCATCGAAACCTTTTGGTCGAAATAGGTATACACAAAATCGTGGGAGAAATAGTGTTAAACTCGACGGTGAAACGTGGTGAAGATTGAGAGAACTCATGGATCCGAGATAGATCCCCGAAAGGTGGGCCAGCCACTTGGTCTTCGTTTAGCAATTTCATTTTCAGACACCCAAGTCAGCTTTCTACTATACGTGTCGAATTGTTTTCACCGTTGAAACCGCAGAGAACGACATAATTCGAGAGCGCGTCTTCCTCGGAGAAGAGCTCCTCCGTAGTTTTGGCAAGACTCCGAAAGGCGGAATCCCACGAGCCTCTAAATTTCCGCCCCCTCGACAGGTCGCAATCAGTCTTGCGTAATGCAGTTTTGACGTTAGCTTAAAAAAAAAGAAAAAAAGAACCGGAGAGAAAGGGACAGCATTACGATTGCCGGCGGGACGGAGCAGGACGGAGATATGGCGAGTCTTCCTCCGGTCTTGCGATTTCCGCCGAAATTTTCCCTAACTTTCCAATAAACATCCCGAGCCGATTCCACGGTACCGGACGCGGCTTTCGCACCGTGACCCTGTACCGCGTGCGGAAACCGCGTATGCACCTTAAATTACGATTATCCTGACCGTAGAGGTAAACAAACCACCAAGAGCCTCGTACACGCGATACCGCTCTCTCTGCGGTTAGGATCGATTGATAATGTTTTTATTAACAAAACCAGCTGACGCAGAGAGTCGTCGTATAAATCTCGTCGATTTTGGAAAACGTCCAAGCTGCACTCGATCGCAATCGTGAAAAGCAGAGTCGGGAGTAAATAAATCTTTCGGGGATATTAAAATACCGACCACGATAATAAATTTCCCATTTTTTTTCTTTATGATGCTCCACTTCATAACGCTCCGCTTGAAATGAGTAAACCATGACGATCGAGCGAATGGATTTTAAATTGACTTCAAATTGACATTTTCAGTGACAAACCCAGTTGTCGCGGTATCGAATATCAAAGATTTCGTGCATTTTGGAAAACTTTCAAGGTGTACTTCATCGTGCACAAAGGAGGAAAGCAGAATCGGAAGTAAATAAATCTGTCGGGGATTTTAAAATACCGAGCATGATAATAAATTACCCATTTTTTTTGTATGTTATGAAGCTTCAATTCATGACGATCGAGCGAATGGATTTTAAATTGGCGGATCGTAAATCCGACGACATGCACTATCAGAGTCTCCGATTTAAAATCCAGGGTCGATTTAGGAGTAATTTTTTTATACTCGTTACGCCTTAACATAATAGGTAGAATTCAGGCAGCTGAGTAATAAATAACACGATGGGCCTCGTCAGCGATCTCAACTGGCAACTATCAGGAATCGAGACTTTCCTTTTCCCGAGAGGAGAGACCTGTTAAAGTCTCGATATACTTTCGCGGATATTACGCGTCTCGCATTAACCTATGTACCGGGAGGTCGTCTCATTGCGACTAAATCACGAGTATGACGCAAATCGTTCGCACTAGTCCCCGTAAATTAACGAAAAATCCCCCGACGTTCTCGCCCTGTACGCGAAACACGACATATATCTACTTCAAACCTCCATATCTAAATATAGATCGGGGTATGACAACCGCTTAAAAACAAAACTAAATAACGATCGCTCGATAACGTCTCGCTTATCATTTTATCTCCTCGTGACAAACAGGGAATACAGAGAAGGCCAAATTTTAGGTAAATCTCCAACCGAACATATAAACTTTCTTCCGTTAACAAATACTCGTTTACTCGATAACGCGTTATCGTCACCGGGGAAAAATTCGAAGAAATTTATTATCGAGATCATCGAGGTCTCCGAATATAGTATAATCGATAATAATATAGTCTCGCGAGGCCGAAACGCTGGGAAAGCTCCTACAAGAGGAGTCGACGTGTATTTTCTCTTTGCGGATAAATCTGTGACGTCAACCTCCCCCACGATGCAAAGTCCGAATTCCACCTGGCACGTGCGTGTGCGTAATTTGGTTAACCGATTAGGACACTTCCTACCATCTATTTCTGTCGGTGCTCCTCTATCGTCTCGCTCTCCCTTGACGGAGATTATGTAATCCGCAGTTTACGCATATACAGGGTGCAATTGCACTCGTATGTGTGCGTATATCTGTAACTTATATCGTACTATCATACGTGGCATGAGGATGCAGATGCGAAGCATGTGGAAAGCAAGCTGGACGGGTTTCGCCTTCGGCGAGAAAAAGCTCTGACACGTGAATCGAGTTGTGGTCTCTCAGAGGCTAATGCCCTGTCCAGGGATGCTGGATTAACGAGAAACGAGAAATCCGTTAAGACATTGAATTTTTTTCATTCAATATTTATTTCACGGATCTCTTAGTTGAACTGTCCAGGGATGCTGGATTGACGAGAAACGAGAAATCCGTCAAGACATTGAAAGTATTATTTTTTCATTCAATATTTATTTCACGGATCTCTTAGTTGAACTGTCCAGGGATGCTGGATTAACGAGAAACGAGAAATCCGTCAAGACATTGAAAGCATTTTTTCCCGACAAAAAAAAAAATGAAGCCTTCGAGAAAAGAGAAAATATATGCCGGACTTTTCACAGATATCATTCCAGGCGATCCGACCGAATATTTAAACTGAGCATGAATAGTTATTCACGGATCTCTTAGTTGAACCTTAAACGAATTTCGTGATCAATCCCCCCCACCGACGATACGACTACATAGAATTTACATGAATAATCACGAGATGTTAATACCGAGATACGGAAACTTGGTATCTTTTGCCCTACAAATTGAAAATCCACGAGTAATTTCATTTCCAGGTTTATCCCCCGGTACAAAAACATTCATTCCGAAGAACACAACCTCGTGGGACGACGAAATTTCTATCGACGCACCTCCTTTTGGTTATCCTCGTTCGAGGCAATTGAAATGAAAATGTCGATGTTATCGCGACTGGACGTGCCACAAAATAATCAATTAAACCCCAATGACGTAAATGTTAAGAAAAAAAGGGCTTGCATTTTTCGCCGTCAAAAATTCCCGCTTTTCGTCGCAAAAATTCCAAATTTTCGGTCGACCTCTCGATCACGGTTAAATCGATTCAAAGGCGTGGTCCTAACAGGAAGTCGCAGAACGACCGCCAAGGTGCATAAAAGAAAAATGCAGATCCGCGATCGGACTTTACGTCCTGGCCATTGTCCAGGTCGATGCGTTGGCCATGGACCTGGCAGTGAATCTACGAGAGCTTCAACCTATTTTAGATCGTAAGCTTAGCTCCGGGGATCCTTTCCGGTATTTCTGGTGATTTGCGACGGGCGACTTCTCGCGGAAACGGCGACTACAGGTGACGTTAAATTGATATCACTGACCTTGGTCAAAGTCTCCAGTCATTCCGCTGCAGACGTTAAGTGTCAAGGTTCCCTCTGTTATCAATCCGAGGAATATTCTCCGAAACAAAAGCACAATCGTCATTTTCGCCGCGTCACATTCGCAACAATTGAAAAAAATGTCAATTACGGCCAGTCGCCATAATACCTCAAATTTGCATAAACATATCTTAAACACGAAGAAACCAAATATGGCTTACAGCTGACAGTCAAAGAATTATACCGAGTATATAAAATTAAACCTGGTCCAATGTCGGGAATAAACGTTATTTACCATTAGAATAGGAAATCTTCTATCCCTAGTGGAAGCCAATTGCATGTAAATTCGTGTACAATGTATTCGGAATTAGCTCGCGATTGGACGTTAAAGATTTGCGCCGTAGAGGCGCGTCTAAGGCCCGGCGCCACTAACCTCGGTTAACGGGTTAATCCTCGGTTACGATGAGTGGGTTTACCGAGACATACGGTTAGGTAATGAATAATTTAATCGGCATCTGTGGAACCGGGCATAAAACTCGCTGACTGGCGCTAACCAGTGCTAACTCACCTAGTCGTGACGACTTCCGTGGTCTCGGCGTTGAAATTGCGACGGACGCCCGTGGGTTCGCTTCGACTGGTCCTCGATTCCTTTCAAGAGTCTCGATAATCGATTACATGATCTCACGACGCACGATCCACTGCGGAATACCGGCGTCGAGAGGGAACGTTCGGCGACGATGTCGCGACGCATCGACGCGAGGGTTGGTTAGTCACGCTCGATAGGTTCCCTCTCACTCGGGTTAAAATTACAACCTAACGTGTAGTACATACGTTCCTGGTACGGTAATACCCGGTTTGTAGGTTAAGTTGGGTCGTGCCGGGGCGGAGCTAAGTCAGAACACGTGCGTCCTGCGCGAGCGCGTGGAGTCTACTGGCGAATCTCGAGGCTCGAGCCGCCCGACACGCTGCGCGCGCAGCGCCGCCACCCGTCACCGCCGACCGTTGACCACAGACGAGACTGGTTCCAGATGCGCAGTCGGTACTGCGCATCGCGCCTCGCGCTGATTGGTCGAGCCGACTCGCGCCAGAAGACGAACCTCTGCGGAAATCGAACGTTAGCCGGCCCGGTTCTCGGAGCGTTCAGCTGACTCACGATTTTCACAACGCCGCCGGCTGGCTCATTAATTACATAGACTCGCCGTTTCTTTTATCAACGTCGGCGCGTATCATATTTTCTAATCGAAGACGACCCCTCGCCGCTTCCGTCTTACCTCTTGCTACAATCGAGAGGTTGCTTAACCTTACAATACGTTGCCGCAATTTTTCAGTCGCGTAATCCACATTTTTTGGTCGAAGAGTTTATGGTTTAGCTTAGAAATATTTATACTCTCGTGATTTTGCAGCTTTATGTTGTTACGTTAGAAAATTCGGGGGAGATGAGGCGAATCGATGTAGGGACCAGCTAACACGGTTTCGTCAAGGCCACGACCAACCGCGACGACGCGTTTTCTCCGACGGCGAGCTTGACGCTGATTGGTCGGATCAGCTCGTGCCAGAAGACGCACCTCCGCAGAAAACAAACATCGAGTGGCCCGATTCACGACATTAGGGCTGACTCACTTTCCCGATATCGCGGACAGGCTCCTTAATTACATCAGCTCACCGAGTTCTAGTATTTACGGAGTATCGTAACTTGTAATCGGGGATAACTTCTATTGTTTTTCGTCTTGCCACTCTCCTCGGTCCGATATCTTTTACTTATTTGCAATAACAAAGCGCCTTTCACATGTAAGTACCACACGCCTTAGGCTCTTGTATAATTGACGCGTTCAATTACCCTCGGATGTAAGCTGGACGATGATTGGTCGACTTGCTCCTAAAAAAGAAATTCGCGGAAAACAAACATGGTTCAGCTCGAGGCATTCTGAGCTGACTCACGAGTTCGTTGGTACTTCCTAATTACATCCGCTAGCGTTTCGATTTTCGTCACAACGAGAATATATCTTTGCAGTGATACGTATATTTAAGACTATGACTGAATGCCAGAGTAAAGATCTGTCTCCTCTATTTTTTTACGTAATTTTTTCCCTTCTCTTTCACCCTAAGCGAAACGATCTTGAACAGTCGTCTTAATTTCATCACGAATTTAATTTAACTTTAATACAGAATTCAACGTCCCGGGACTATTTTGGATACGCAGTAGTTCATCGGAGTAAACTAACGTACCTCGAATGTTGAGTGAAACATTCCGCAAGAAATGGCGACTGGTATTTATTCATTTAGGACGTCGTGAACATAAACGGCGTGTCAAAATGGCGGCTTTCAAATCTTGCCGGGATGCAGAAAGACCTGGTATATTTTCGTAAAAAGGTTCTACATCATCCGGGGAATTTAACCCGGCTTCTCGTACAGCATCCTTCTCGTTCGAGTCTATTGACTTGAACATGTTTTACCTTTGTTGTGTAGGCGAAATTAATACCTGATCTCAAAGAAAAACTGCCCAACGACGCGCGTCACGATTAGGTTTCTTGATTGCGCCGCCGTGATATGATAACACCGAAGTTAACAAAGAGCGTTGCACAATAGAAATAATGGAAATTAGTACCGAGTATTAAGACAGCGGTTGAATGCCAGTTAGTGATTAAAACCGACCATGTAATACCCTTCCACCGAGCACTGAATTTCCTCAATTAATTCCAACGCCGAGAATGCTTAATCGTCTATGTATTTTAATTAAATCGTTGATACAAACAAGAACTTGCGATAAGGAAGGTCATTCGCCAGACACTCATTTCGACAGGAGAATAATTCTTTTTTTTCTTTTTTTTCCCTGTAACTTTTAACTCCATCTCAATATTTATATGAAATTCAGATATAAGTGTCTGCGTAAATAAGATTAAACTTCTGTCGGTGCTTGAATATCGCTGATATTATTTTAACAGGCCCAGTTTTTAATTGGCGATAACGTTCTCGGGATTTTTCGTCAGTCGGGTCATTATGAAAGAAATCATTGAATGCTTGGCACTGCACGTTGCATGTGACGGTGCAACGATGTCACAATGCATTTGTACACCCACTTTGCAGGGAGTTCTCATTGGTATAGACTCGTTAGAGAGTACTCGAGGTAAACAACGATATTTGGACCGACTTGCTTTTCCTAGTGCGCACATTGCCAGGAAATAACAAGAGAATGAAAGAGAAGTGACGCAGTTAAAATGACTCCCATTTGAAAACAAGAACCGTCCCTCGACCGATCACCAGCAAAACACGCATCGAATAATTCGCACATGAGTGCGAGTGGACCCGTAGCCGTTAGAATCTCTTTAGATAATAATTATTCACCTTTATTAGTCATTCAATGCATCATTCATGTCGGAATTGACGGAGTAAATGTAAACCGGGGACTTAAGAGTTACACGTCTTACCACTTTATTTTACATGGATAAGAAAAGTCTAGTTACCTCTTTGAGTACGGAACCCTTTCGACATATGGGCGAAATTCATCAGTGCGTGCAAGCAATATTGAACCAAACGTCGGACGCCTTTAATAGCTGGAGGGTTAATAATGATTTTAGCGTCATTGGGTGCGATATTTTCGATTCCTTGTCGAGAATATCTACTGAATGTTTTAAACAGAATATCGAATTGGTGACTCGCCGACCTTGCGATAGAAGTGTGTTCATGCTAAGTGTGGAATAGTTTTAGGGCACGGCCGCGAGATGGCACCCTTTCTCGAGATATCGAAGAAACGGAGGGCTCACTCTGTTACCCTCTGTTACTCTTTGATTTACTTTTATTTATCATCACAAGTCTAACGAACTATCGCACGATTTTAAGAACAAGTATACTGTACGTTTTTAAAAAAGGTAAGGAGAGTTATTGAGTGTTTCTTTTAATTACTTAAATACTTGTGTCATTACAAATGAGAGAAATCTTTCATTCTGACTTCGAAAAACTCAGTGACAAACATTGCTCGGACAAATTGATACATTTTGGCAAATATATTTTCTGTTCATTTCAAATCGTGAAAAACTCTCATTGAGAACTGGTTTATCACCTTGTAGATGGTGGAGCTTAAAAAATTAGTAAAAATAGGTGTATATGGTGGAGTCGCTGCGAGTGCTGCTGGACTTTTTGTAATATACTCGTTGCAAAGAAAATTTCGTAAATCTGCCTCCTATCAAGAAGCTATGCAACATTTACGCAGTCATCCTCTTGCGATTCAAAAGCTTGGTGAACCAATAAAACAAAAAGGAAATGTCTCTATGGCACATCTAGATCCTGAAGATTCATGCAAAATAATAAAGGTTACGGTCCCTATCGCAGGACCCAAGGGAACTGGAAAATTACAGTATTACATTAAAATAATAAATGAAAACCTAGGTACATTTCTAGTTAACAAAGTAGAACTTGATCTTCCTAAACTTAATATGAAAGAAGTAATATTTGAAAATAAATAATCAAATTAATGAAAACAGGTTTATGGCTGAAAAAGCAAATTGAGATAATTAAACAAATTTTATAAATAAAAAAAATGTAATTTCAACCTTCCTTGGACTAAATAAGAATGAATAAGGGTGTCATTGTGTGTCTTATTTACATACAATTTATTTTATGCCGGCATCAACTACCTTGAATATATTAAGTTATAGGATTATGTAAAAATTATTGATTTAATGAAAAAGGAGTTGTGCTCTATGTGAGTACCATCCTGTATTATTGACATGTAAATAAAATGTTATCTAAATGTTTGCAATGGCATATCAGTGATTCCTTTTGGAACTTTTAAGCCACGTCTAATGTAGCCTAAGCCAGCTTGTATAATGTGAATCGCAGCTTCAACTGTTAAGTTAACAGCATGTTCATCTCCAATCCAAGGATTGACTTCCACTAAGTCTATAGCATTTAGTCTATTCGTTCTAAACATTTCTTCCATTATGTGAATGCCTTCTCTTAATGATAGACCACCCCTTACTAAAAAGAATTTTTCACGATAAAAATAAACTTGTTATTTTATTACATTTTAATACTAAAAAAGCAATTTTGGTTGTTAACATTATTAATTGTTAAAAGTATACCTGGTGTGCCTGTACACGGAGCCTCTAGAGGATCAAGAGAATCTATGTCAAAGCTCACGTGTAGAGATTTTATGCCATTTGGGTCAATGCGGTTTAATGCCATTTCAATCACATCATGGATACCTGAAAAAAATATTACCAATACTAAGTCTGTAACATTTCCTTAAAATCTGATAAAGTACCATATCTTTCGACATCTTCCATTCCATAAGCTGTGATTCCAAATTTCTCTATTACTAGTTTCTCGTAACGATCAACGGATCTCAAACCAACATATGCTATGTTTCTTATTGACAACCTGAAACATTTTTATTAACAGGTATTGAGTAGAAAAGATCTTTCGTATTAATGTATCTACTCACATAGGTTGCTGCCAATCCATTCCAGGTATATGTGGCCAGTAATCTGACAGTTCCGATGTAAGAAGTGCTACAGGCATGCCATGTACATTGCCACTTTCGCTAGTTTTATTGGTATTCAAATCTGCATGTGCATCTATCCATAAAACAGCCACTTCTTCCTTAGCCTTTAATAAAATTTTTGTAATTTTTGGTAATTAATTATTTTAAGATAAGATATCAAGCATACCTTGACGTGGCCATCGATACTTCCAATTCCTAAACTGTGATCTCCGCCAAGAGTTACAACTTGCCGACCATCTTTTAGAACTTTCTGAACCATTTCGGATAAACTCTTAGTACAACTTGCTACTTCACTTAAGTGTGACATATTGTCTATGCTACCTGTAGTATTCACTTCATACGTAATATCTCCATAATCTTTTACATCGAGCCCTAAAAGTGAAAAGTAGTCCTTGCATAAATGGCATCGAAAGTACTTACACAGGAATGTCAAATACATTATCGATTATGGCTAAGGTTTTTACCTAAACCTTCTAATTCTTTAATGAGACCAGCTTTTCGAATAGCTTCAGGTCCTCGAGCAACACCCTCCTTTTTCTACAAAATAAAATATAAGGCCGACGTGATAAAATATTCTTAGTTGTGAGTTAATTTTAAATAATTTTTAAGTCACCTGTCCTTTTTCAAATGGTACACCCACAATCCCAACTTTTCCGTAATTTCGTTTCCCAATGTTATTAACAACATAACGTAATTTCGATAACATTTCGTCAATCTTTTATAGCCTACTAGCCGAATTGATGTTCAGCCAAGAACGACGTTAAAGGCTTGCTATACTTTGAATGACCTCTTGCCCTCCAACCGATATGACAGATATGTCTTCACATGAGAATTGTATTATCTCACACTGTATGTATGACTAACAGCACATAGATTAAAAAATTCAGGTTATATTTTAAACAAGTATTTCTATTAGTCATGGTATGTTTATAGGTCCATGTGTATAGACAAGTAAAAGTAAAGTCCTGTAAGTTTCTAACATTTTATATCACCTGATACACAACGTACAACGTTTTACTTTTATCCCTGATCTCTAATACAATAGAATTACACAACTCCAACTAATGATTTTTAATAGATAATCGCAGATAAACTTTATACACCCTAAACTTCAAATTACATCCAATCTGAAGCAATAAACTGTTATTATTAATACGGCGCAATATGTATTTAGGATGTACACATTATTTCAGGTAGACATCCTTTATTGCTCATTAATTCTCGATTAGTTGATAGTTGCATAACAGTTATAAATGTACAATATGTTCGCCATTGCACGATCTGTATCGTGATCACGTAGATATCAAATTCGATACTTTGTAGGTATTTTGTCTGATGTTCGATATAATTACTTAGGTCCAAGCATTTGTTCAGGTTTTACCCACTGATCAAATTGTTCGGAAGTGACACCATTTTTAATAGCGGACTCTTTTAAAGTTAGCTTTTCTTTATGAGCTTGTTTAGCTATCTTTGCAGCCTGTAACGATTTAAAATAACGTTATTTTTCTTATACCTCCTCACATAAAACTGAATAATTATAGTTTCTATATCTGTTTACCTTATCATATCCAATATGAGGATTGAGGGCAGTGACTAGCATCAAACTTTCAGTCATAATTTTCTTGATATTGTCAATATTGGGTTCGATGCCAGAGACGCAGTTCTTTGTAAATGCCACTGCAGCATCTCCTAAAAGTCTTGTCGATCTCAATGTGTTTGCCACAATAACAGGCTTGAAGACATTGAGCTCAAAATGTCCATTACTGCCTCCAACAGTTGTGGCAACATTGTTTCCCATAACTTGAGCACACACCATAGTAATTGCTTCACATTGAGTTGGGTTCACCTTACCAGGCATAATTGAACTTCCGGGTTCATTTTCTGGGAGTGACAACTCACCCAATCCACAGCGTGGTCCACTTCCAAGGAAACGAATATCATTGGCAATCTGAAACCAATAATATTTTCTTAATATTAACCATGTTATTAATTCATAAAAAATAAGTTTCATCGTTAAATACCCACTTTCATAATTGAAACAGCTACTGTATTAAGAGCACCATGTACTTCGACCATGGCATCGTGCGCAGCTAAAGCTTCAAATTTGTTAGGCGCTGTAATAAATGGGTATCCTGTTAAACTTGCAATCTTTGCTGCAGTCTTTTCGGCAAATCCTTTTCTTGTATTCAAACCAGTTCCTACTGCAGTACCACCAAGAGCAAGCATGTATAATCTTGGCAAAGTTGCTTGCACTCTCTGAATTCCAAACTCAATCTGTGTAGCATATCCTAAAATAACGGAACGACCTCAATGAAGTATAAAATATGTACTTACAAAAGAAGAACCTCTTCCAATAATCTTTGTAACAGTACTCACCAGAGAATTCTTGTCCTAATGTTAGAGGAACTGCATCCTGTGTATGCGTTCTGCCAATTTTTATTATATTTTTCCATTCCTCAGCCTTTTTGTGTAGAGCTTGATGTAACTGTTTCAAGCCAGGAAGCAACACCTTGTTAATTTCTAATGCTACCGATATGTGCATCGCAGTGGGAAACGTATCATTAGAACTCTGTGACATATTCACGTGATCATTAGGGTGCACTGGTTTCTTTGAACCAAGCTCTCCACCCAATAATTCAATAGCACGATTTGCAATAACCTTGTAAAGAAAAACATAAATAACATTATTAGACTTAAGGGAATGTTGCATTTTTTAAATTACAAGATGCAGTAAAACACTGACCTCGTTTGTATTCATATTGGACTGAGTACCAGACCCAGTTTGCCAAATCACAAGTGGGAAGTGATCGTTATAGAGTTTGCCACTGATAACGTCATCAGCAGCTCTACTGATAGCATCGGCAATTTTGGGATCTAATCCATATTCCTTATTCACTTCGGCTGCGGCCTTTTTCAGTATTCCCATAGCGACTATAACTCCAAACTAAATAATGAACAATTTACTTTCAAAAGTGGCATGTCTTACACGTTCCATTAAGATAACTCGTTATTATAAAAATGACTTTCTCTTACAGGCATTCGCTCGAAGCTATCTCCTATGGGAAAATTCATTACAGATCTGACAGTCTGTGCACCGTAATATTTATCTTTTGGTACCTTCATTTCTCCAAATGTATCACTTTCAATTCGAAATCCTTTATCACTCTCCTGCAACAAATCATGTTTATGTACATTACAGCAGAAAATAATGTTATATTTGTCAAGGTGCAAAGTAAAATATATAGTACAAACCATCGTACGATTAGTACAGACGTATGAAAAATGTTGAAGCTATTTACTACTCTGCAGCAGAATCTCAACTGAGTTGAATTGAAAGAGGGGGGAGCCTATTAAATCGCAGTACCAGATAAGACTTAAATAAACTGTTATGTAAAGCCATATACCGGTTTGCCCAACCAGTGAAGAAAAAAGTGAAAGTATTTCAGAGATTCCTGGTATTCATTGAGTGTATCAAAATGCTATTTACAATGAGTTAAAATGAATTCCTCTGGTTATCACAAATATCTCATATAATTCATATGATACAATTCAGCCCCATTTAAATATTATATATTTCTTCCTAGCTGTAAAACTTTTTACCTCACAAGTTCCTTGATATCCGGAACAAGTTCCATACATTTTGAAAGTATTTTAAATTTGTTAAAAACACTTTTAAACGACACTGCAATGAATGACGAGCTCAGGCCACTGAATATCACTTGTTTATCTCAATAAGCTTTTGTTACGATAACTGGGTAACCATAATAGAAATGTATACGTAAAACTTACATAAAGTATGTTTACCATAATACAAAAGATAAAGTACATCTCTGAAAATTAAATCCAAAGATAGCGTGTTCAAAATAAATTTTGGCTTGACTTCTTAATCAACACACTCATAAATTATTTAAGGACATACAAAGTTAATTTTTAGTAGGGAATGATTAAAAAATTAAAAGGGAACTGATTTCTTAATTACATAATATTTATTGTATCTTCTAATTACCATGACATAAACAAAGATTAATAATGTCTGTTTAAAAATTAGGATTACTAAGGGAACTTAAAATTACTCATAACACTAGATGGACAAGGGCTATTTGTGCAAGGCGAAATTACATATTTTTGTATATTCAACATACATTACATAGAAAATAGTCTTAGTAATTTAGTTAAGTTATATTTCTTTTATATATGCACCGTTACAAAAAGTATAATATATATATGCGGTAATTAAATTTGACTAATTATTAAATGCAATCTGCAGATATTTAAAGCCAATGAACAGACTATTGATCATAAAAAAGATATCTACGTCCCTTCTGTCGACACAAGTCAGTTTCTAAACACATTTTTTAAAATCAAAGAACTAATGCAAATTCTCTCTACTTTCGCAGGTTCTATTTTGGGCATATCACTGGTTACATAAAAGGAAAAGAAGTACTAAAACGTCAATTAATCGGTGAAATGTTAAACATTACAGATTACTGAGCAGTTCGATTTTTCTACCATATCTACGGACGTTTTTTTAGCTTAGAATACTCTAAATATATTTACCTGACTAGCGTTACGAGTTACGGTGCAAGGCCCAGGCATTTTTACAACTAAAAGGCCGGTAACTTCTTTTAGCGAACGAACGCCGCAAACTTGGATATTGCATCTTAAGACATTCAGTGCCATTTTGCGTATTCCTATTACAATTATCGAAAAACTTGTTAAAACCCTTCAAATACTTTTCAAACTAAATATACCCGTGTTAAAATTGAAGGTCTGCTCCTGCAGACGTGCGGTTACGGCGGTTAGGTCATTGAATGTTCAATATTATAGATTTACGATACCGTGATGCAGGATTACAACTTAAAGGCGATTCTTCACATCAGCGAACTGTTAGCGCCATCATCACATTTGTCTCCCGCGCCATTTGCATAGGTTTATGTTGTCTTTACATTCAAGAGATTTGTCCGGATCACTTCAACCAATCAGAAGTGACTTCAATGGGTGAGTTCAAAAACCATGAATTTGCTGTAATAAGTCCATCAGAATTCCAATTTTCATTGTTTTTAATATCGGTTTATAAGCAATGATATGAAATATGGGCTTGATATGATATGTATATTCTGTAGAATGGAAAGTTCGGCTTTCCGTGATAACCGATTAAATTCGTAAAGGGATTCCATCATATTGATTTCCTGAATGTACCCGCTATTTCACTTTATACGTGTATGTATGGACATTACGTGTGCGACGTCGCATATCTCTTATTGTAGTTCTTAAAAGAACTCAGAATGTCGGCGGTATCTACAATAGTGGTAGGAACAGTTACCTGTGTAACATTGATTACCGTTTACTACGTTCATTACAAACAGAGTTACGACAGGTAAAAAAGGTGAAATCTCTATTTTCTTGGAGGTTATTTTCTTATGGATGTTAATTTCCAGGGACCAAATTCATGTTGGTGTAATTCGAGATATCGAACGGCAGGAACGCCGAAAAGCAGAAAACGTGCGTCTTCTTCAAGAACAGGCTGGATTAACCGATAAATTACGCCACAAGTAGTAGCCTAAAACGGAGAAGAATGTACTAGAATTATTGTAACTTTTACGGATTCGTTTTAGTTAAATAAAGCATGGTGTTTACGATGTTTTAAGGAACTTGTATACAGTGTATGGACCGGAAGTAGTGTTATACGGATTGTGAATTTCGTTCTTATGAATCGCTTAGGAGTATTGCTTGTTTGAGATTCCTTGATGTTAGAGAGAATTGGACCACAAATTAAAAAGCAGTAATTGCGTTACCTACTATGGCGTCTGATGAATCCGAAAGGGATCAACCGGGCAAGTTATCTATTTAACATTTTTCATTTTTAACATTATACAACATGTTTTGTCATAACTATGAAGATATTTTGTTACATTCAAATAGTTAGATTATGGTATGTTGAAGAAATCAGCGACGTTGTTTTTAACAATTTATAGATTTGACCATCATAGAGGAAAGTCTCATGAGTTTCGAGAAGCTTGATCGAGCGTCGCCGGACTTATGGCCGGAACAAAGTAAGTTCATCTTTGACCACTTATATAATATGATGAATTAAAAATTTTATTTTATATCAGTGCATGATGAAGTTCCAGGTGTGAACGAATTTGTGGCTCAGAATTCACCTCAAATTGACTCGCCTTCGTGGACTCTAAACCTTACAGCTGATGACATTAATCAATTACACCGTAAGTTCCTCAAATATATTACGGTAAAAAGGACGGTATCTTTAAAATTGTTAGTATACTTTTGATATTCTTCTATTTCAGAATTGGGCAACTTATCGATGACTGGTTTAATTGCGGAAGTTAAGAAGTTGCACGATATGGCCTATCAGCTTGGACTGGAAGAAGCGAAAGAGATGACACGAGGCAAATACTTAAATATATTCAAACACAAGTAAATTTTACTTAACTGTATATGGATTAAAATTTAATGATATAGGCTTTTATAAAAAATATATTTTTTATAAGTACAAATATTATCACAAAGAATATTCTTTCGTGTATCATAGATTAACCTATATCTCTTATGTAACTACCTAAATACGTACAGGAGAAATAGTACTGTTCCCAGCAAATTGATACCTTTTCTCGTTCCACTCTATAGCAGTTTCTATGATTCCAGAACCTTTAATAAAATCTACCGCAACAATGTTAGCTGAATGTTGCCACTGAGTACTATACCAGGTTGTAATATTAATGTTGATTTCTTCTGCCATTTTTCGTAAACCTCCCAAGCGATCTAATATTACATCCCAAGTGTTCGGCGTCAGTTCAGCCATTGCCGATCTGGGTACAGTATTTATAAATCTAGAATTTAACAGTCTAAAGATAAATAATTTCTTTGTGACAGCGATTCAACCATGATTAGTGTACATGTTTCTTTCATCTTATTATCGTTACCTTAGAGCACGAGCTTCGATTTTGTTAAGGTGTGCATATAAATCTCCAACCGTTCTAACGTTACCCCACTGATGCGTTACACAGGTCCAGACACTATTTCTTGTTGCGACTATGGCTTGCAAATCGTAACCAATTATAAGTTTCCTTCCAGAAGACCAAATTTTGTCTAAATTACTGGACCATCCGTAACTTTTGGGTATAATGTATTCATCCAATTCTTTTTCCAGGTAATTAACAAGTTTATGATGAATGGATAGATTTTTTCCAAAGCCTGCGATCCAGAGACGATTAATTACATTATTCGCCAAATCTTTGTATCCAATAAATATATCAATGTCTAGAACAGTGGTGTTCTTCAGCTATTAAAAAGAGATTGCGAATTTAATAAGAGAAATTAATACATATTACCAGTTTACCTATAGGGAATTCGTGAATGTCAAATATCACGATTTCTTGTGTATTTGCGAGAAATGTTTTAACATCATTTATGACTGTTTGCAGTGGGCGAATCTGAACAAATCCATGATTGCCCCACCAAAGCTCTTCGGTGTTCGGATAATGGCCTACCCTGATGTCGAGGTACCTCACACCATAGATAAGCTGAGAGAGAATGTCCTCATCCTATGACGTAACTGATAATTATTAAGTAGAATCCATTCCGTCATAGCCAGATGACTGATAATTATTAAAAGAATCCATTCCGTCATAGCCAGATGACTAAATCCCAAATTACAATCGACCCAATTATTATGAATAATTGCTTCCGTAAAGGTATTTCAATTAATGTATCATTACCTGCGTAATAACATACTTGGTGACTAAAGTGTCATATATTGACCCAGGTATTTTTGAATAAGCTACGGAATCATGAGTTCCAGGCAAAAAAACATCTCTTATCCTTAGAGGTCCCAAAAAGTGTCTCCTATCGTGCATCCAATTTGGACGAGTCTTCAAACAATTTGTTTTTTTAATAATCCCATTTCGCAACCAGGCCACGTAATGCGCTAAAACATGTACACGGATCAGCATAATATGATACACTCGCGGTGTATAATCTATAATATAGGGTATAAATGGTTAAATAATATAAGAAATTAGGAACGTACTTAAGCACTGTTGCTGGAAAGTCAGATTTTCCGTGGGCATGAAATCCGCCTCAATCCTGGTCTTTTGAATGCCGTTTCGAGTCTTCGGAGTATACGTCCAGAGGGGTTGCACATTTTCCGAAGGATCACTAGCAAAAAGGGCAATTACATCGCCCGAACGAAAATTCGGATTGCGCCAATAAACCTCGATCTGGCGGACTTCATTAGAAGATACTACTGGTGAGATTATAAGTCCAACGTGAGCTTCTTCAAAATCTGCAATTTAATCAGGGTAACTCATTCACAATTCACAGCGTATAATATGTACAAATGACTCACGATCTAATGAATACAATTAAGTTATCGCAGACTTACCGTAATCGGCGCTTTCCACCGACCTTGATAGCGAGTCCTTTACAAGAAAGAGAATAATTGTAATTGAAAATAAGTTTGGTCCTGGTCTCATCGCATACCCGAGTGCGTGTTTTAACATCTTGGGACGTCGCAGGCCTCTCTGTTATCTGTTATCATCACTTGTTAATAGTTAATCATTCGGCAGGAATGGATGTGGATAACTAGACGATGTCTGCATACGTTACCGAAGATAAGGCGAAATGTTGGATTAAAAGCTCGTAAATGGTCTTTAGGACCCGTTTGAACGTTGCTTCCACCTAGCAATAAATCCTTTGTCGGCCGAGGATGACATTAAGATTTTCCCGACTCATTAAATGGAGAACGAGCCAAGCCGTGTATTCTTCATCCTAATGGCACCTTACGACTCCGAACCAGAAGGATCCTCCGCTTTCTTCCCGTCCTGAATAACACATCTCCGTTTCTAAGACCGACCTAATGTGCGGAAATATATCTCACATCGAAACCGTGAATCCGATGTACTAAGTTAACCGAAAGAAAATTCTATGCACCTAATGCACGGACATTGCATCCGGTACCTCGAACTCGAGTGCACGTCCGACAATGGCATACGATCCAGATATCCCTCTTGTATCGTTAATCGGTAATCAAACTCGCTAACCAGATCCGGCAGATCTGAATTACGCGTTTTTTATTCAGATATCACGTATACGAGCGAACGTGGCCAGAGAAATATTTACGAGCCACGTGGTTAGTTAACCGCTGCCTCAGTTACTTCCGCGATAACTGCCGTCAAACCTGTATCAGATAAATGAATTGGAGTCCAATGTCATCTCTAAAAGTCCCCTTTGATATGCCCTAGCCGAATGCGTAAACAAATGATATGTACCTACGATTTACCTATGGAGGGTCGCCTACTGCTCCAAACAATGAAATCGTTCCTGACAGTTTTCAACGGGTCCGACACTTCCTGGAAGTGAAAGTTACGCATCGGAAGTCGTGTAATATCTGTACTCGAGGCCACTTTCTCTCTCATTAACGTGAATCTTTGCTGACGCACTTATTTTTTACTAACCCACGCGCAATACTCCTACTTCCTTTAACCGCGTCACTAAAAACCTCCACTTTCGATCAACTATATCCTCATTGTTTTTCCTCAATTTCTAAAATGTCCGACTTTGTATTACATCTTGTACTTTCCCAGACATTGTTTAAAAGCCGTTTATTTACCGTGTTTACCTATCAGCGCGTCGTTGTCACCGTTGATGCAATGTGGTGTAAATAGACATTGCAAATTCATGTTCCAGGATTGCCAGTAATGCGTAACGCGAACAAAACAAGGGGCGTTGTGAACAAGTGTTTTACGATTGTATGATTCGTATCTGCTCCCAGGGGGGAAAATAGGAAAATCCGCAAGGCAAGGTCTTATCGAAAGATCGGTACCAATTGTTGCGCGATATGAAAGAGTAATTCTATATATATATAATACGTCAAAACATTTATAACGAGTTTTTCCAAACTAGGTGCACCGATTAATTCGAAACTTTAACACGTGATTATACAGGCCCGAAGGAAGAATGCGATGCTTATGAAATTTCATGTTTAAAAAAAAAAATGTTTTTGTTTGGTTCTTGGCCGAGATATACGTTTTTTTTCGAAAAATGAAATTTCATGTTCTTCCTTAGGGCTTTCATAATCTCGCTGCATTTGGAGAAAAGTTTTATTAATATTCCGTCTTTCTGGTACGTACGTATGACACTTTCATATCACCTTAAGGGCGCCGCAGCGTTAAGCGAGGACAATTAATTCGGAAACTTATCGACCTCTTGCCCGTCGGCCGTAATTCCTCCGCGTGCAAGTTTTTTCTGAAGAGGTCGGAAGGTCTCCCCAGCTACGCGATTTATATCAGGTGCACGTATTGAATCGTGAATTCCTGCCTTCTATTCCACGTGCACTAAGTTGCAGAACGGCAGTTGGGAGGTAATGATTCATGCACGGGAAGTGCGGAGAAAAAGAGAGAAAAAAAAAAAATCCCGGAGGCCAATTAGTCCCGCTAAGGAGACAAAAAAGGTGGCACTAACGCTTCCGACCGTCAAACGGGTCGACGCGTGACAATAAACATCCATTGTTAACGCGATCATCGAGACCCACCGCCGATTTTGCAGAACCCCCGACACCACGGTGGAATATATCTCGGTTTCATGTTCGCATAATGTAGAGCGGTGAATTTTCCCTCTAAATTTAGCGGGCCCGAAACTAACTTGGAATTTCGGGCACGTATCCTCGGCTTTGTTTCCCGTTGGATTGTGTCCCGTGTGTCCAATCTTCCGCCCGGGTATTAAAGGACCGTGTTTAATTTGTTCGCCTCGTTTCCCACCTGTCCACGGTGCGCCTTTATCCAGGCCTCGATTTCACTCTCTTTAACAAACGCGTTTATTACCTTGCAACGACCCCGGTTATGTCGTTTCTACGAGTCGTTGCAACGTAGTTATGTAGGTTGATCCACGACCTATACTTTCAGGATAAACAACTTTTTCTCTCAATACATTAATTATATTCAGGTACGACGCATACCTTGAATATCTACATACGGATGTACCGTGTGAAACGCATCCGTTAGAATGATCCACGCTAGAGACCGAGATCTATATTTTTATTACCACTGGGTCGAGGCAATCGTGTGACTCCATGTATTGAATAGTTAAAAGTCGCACTTAGGTTTCGACGTAATACTTATTAACGCACTAAACTTGTCTGGAACAGATCGGTCGAATTTCCATATCAGCCTGTGCGTACCATCTAGCAAGTCGGTGACCCGTCCGCACTTATCGCGTTAAAAAGCGGCGCAAATTCACTTTTCTTTTGTTTCTTTTCCTGTACTGCAGAGATCCAAGGCTGCTTATGGACGAGTTAATGAAAATTTAATTGGGGTTCCCTTACCGACAAGCGGACTTCTCGTTGCTGGCCTCTGCGAAACTACTGGGCTAAGCCGCGCGGAGTGGTGTCTCATAAAGCTGCCGTTTTCTCCGCTAATTCTCTATGTTTACTAGTTCAATTACGTAAAACCTTCATGCCGTCGATCGGTATCTCCGTAAGTTCCCAGCTGGAATCGAAACCACCATTCCCGTTTAAATTCGCACCGGATATAAGAAAGAAAAAAATAAGAAAAGAACAAAAAAAGCGGGGACTCAGATTTTAAGCTCCCGATGCCTATCGCATTGTTTTCCAAAAGATAACCCTTAGATCCTGAAATCGAGTCGAATACTCGATTGGGCAGCATCACTTGCCGCGATCTCCTCATTCGAGAGATAAATAAGAGATGATACATTTAATCGTTCGCAATAATATATACGTGTCCGTTATCGCGCGAATTTCGCGTACTCGGCATTGAAATGTTAAAACGCCTGAAGAATGTCCTTACAAGTCGTGGCTACGATTTAGAATTATTCTGGCTTATCTCTGTACAACGTACGATAACGATGTAACGCCTTACCGGTTATCGTAACGATTATGCGAACATATAAATATAATCTTTGTGCACCGTGCGATAACTCCGTGAAACCTCAACGTTAATCTATGTAATGCGTCCGAAATTATCATTCTAAGCTGTACTTTCAAGCGCGATTAAAATTCTTTTTTTTTTTTAATTTCCCGATTTTAATTCCCTGACGATTTTGTCTGGTTTTTTTTTCCAATATTAATTGACGTACTGTAACGTACTCACACTGTTCTACGCATCGCGTTTAATAAAGTAAAGGAACGAAAGAAAAGTCACTTTTAGAGCAAGTCCGAAACTTTGGCCGATATTTTCATTTTCTTTCTTTCAGGAGTTATTTCGGTCGTCAACCTTCGCTCCAATAGTAGAAACGTCTCCACCGCTATGAGTTATGATGTTTTGTCTCCCGACCGCTGGAGTATGCATGCCATTATGTAAATGAAAAAGGACTACACGGTTCTCGCCTCGTGTCGAAGAATCTTTGCGAATTTCGCCCGCGCAATCGACCTCGCGGATCAGGATCCTCGAGCGTTCGAGGTCGAATTAAAGAAAGAAAAAAAAAAAGGAAAAAAAACGGATGAGGACTATGACAAGAAAAATTCGGCAAAAGTTCCTCTTCGAACTCTCCGCGATAATCTGCGCCGATAACAATTCAATTGGTCTCACCTCGCCGTTATTGGCAGTCGAAATGGCAAGCGAATAGTCCCACGAGCCACTTAACGAGGTAGATACCCTCGCCATTACCGTCATTCCCTGGCAAATATGTCCGGGAATTAATGCAAAAAAAAATCCCGAAGGCCCGTCACGCTGTCAGAGAACCTAACCAGCGTCGGATGTGATTGATATCTAATCTGCGAGGCACTTATCGGACACAGGAGATCAAAAATCGGAGGGGCCATTGTCAGGGAAATTCGGCGGTCCTGGAGGGACCCCCTCTCTAAGCCAACCAGAACCTTAGGGTTTCGACGTCGAACTTTATTACAAAACTGAAAAAGAAAAACAAAAATTTCTGCGAGAGTAACAAACTTTTGGCTTATGTGACTAGTTGTAATACTCAGCGGCAATACTAAATTAATGTAATGTGTACAGGTGTCGAGGGCCCGCGGTGTCCAGGGGGTTGGCGAGCGACCGGGTTTCCTTCTAACCCCGAGGACCCTCGTCCTCGTTCTTCTTCGTCCTAGAGGAAATGTCCCCGCCAAGGCGAAGTCACGGTTCCCGACTTTTCGGGCCAACCGACCACGTCGATCGAGGAACGAATAAGCATACGTAATACTCCCACGTAGTCGGTAGTTCGAGGAAACAATGGATTCGCCATAGGCCGAGACAACGGGGCCGTAAATGCGTTCCCAAGCCCTTCTGCGCACGCGCAGGTATCAAACTTCGACTCAACTATCCAGTACGGTTGTTACAAAACTAATTATTGTTTCTTATGTACAGGTAGTAAGGATTACTTCGTATCCACGTGACCGTAAAGTAGTACAAGGAGACATAACGCCGATTCCACAGAAAGTGATATCATCCTAGGATATCTCAGATTTTCGCAGATCTAACGACGTTAGCGCCACTCGCGGAAAACGAGGGAACTCCAATCCTACGTGAGCGAAACATTTTCCACCGACGTAAATGGTCTAAAAAGCTAGTCATATCGCGATTAAGGTACGCAAAGTGAAACGATAATCCACGTATGATATACAGAATGTGATGTTTTCAACGCGATAAAGACTAGCGGGCCCACCATAAGAGGATAACGTATAATTGAAGAACTTCACCGGAAACAGTCTGAACATCTTGGACCCCTAAAATGGAAATATGACTTCAATACACGGCGTTGGATTTCCTTATACTACTTCGTGGATACGACGACTTTCTAGGTAATACAAAATTCGGTCGTCCATCCCCCGCCCTAAGCGCAAGAGGAGGCCAGAGTTCTTTGTTACCGTACATTGAAGTCCCTAACAATGCAAACCATCAACGCAGGAGTACCACGTGTGAGTAAGAATCCTACACAATTTTTATACCCACTTTTTTTCGAGAAATTCTAGCCGAGAGGACGACTGCTCTGATCTAAAAAAAGGAAGAAAAAAAAAGAAAAACGAGACAGGAATTCCAAAAGAGAAGACTTTCCTTTCCTTCGACTAAGTCCCGACGAGGATATTTCCCTCCTCTCGACGAGGACTCGCCAGGATCCTCGGAGGACCAAGCCGACCTTCGTCCCCGCCAACCCCAGTGGTCGGCCGCGTCCTTCCGGACTTATATCCTTATATCTCTAGAAGTAAGATTAAATTTACATTACGAAGTCTTACGCGCACTTTTCCTCACGGCGAGCGAGGGGAAGGGCGAGAGCAAAGGGCACTCCCTAAGGTCCCTCAGGACTCTGGATCGATCCTTTCCCTCCCGCCACCCCCGCCCCTCGGTCGCGGTTAGTCAACGAGGGACGCCGAATAATTTAACTTACCGAGAGAAGGTACATAAATAGTATACACTAATTTACAGTAATGTTTCATAGTCTCTGTCTTGGAAGACACGGTATGGCAGGATTTTTGATTAGGAATATAACGCCCTCCCCCAGGGTCCCGCGCGCCTTCGCCGACCTCGCCAGCGTCGAGGAACACGCTCGTCGACGGTCCTCGTCGCCGAGGACGCATCGCCGGTCTTCGTCTGCCCTCGATAATAAGCGAGATAGAACGCAGCCGGAAGCTACCGTGTGTCTGAAATCCCGGAAGCGGTGGTCACCACCGCGTAGACTGCAGCTAAACGTGTCTCTTTAAGGCGTCCTCTGGGTAATCCGAGTCCTGCAGTCGCGTCGAGAGATATCCCCATACGTGTGTACAACCTCTGACTACTTATTTTCTATATATTACAGGCCTATTGCGGGGTATTTCGCGAGCCGAGCCCCCACCCTGGACGAGGGCGCGTCATTTGGGCTAGCTATGAACGGGTTAAGATCACGGGTCCAAGAGTGAGTTTAAGCAGATCGTCCGGACCACGGACGGGATATTGGATCTGGCCACAAACCAGGAATTCCTAAAAAGTCCCCCCAAAAGGACCCACCCAGGCCTCGGAAAGAACCTACGCTCCATGGATCACGTAGACCGGCCTCGAGGGGGATAATTCCCCGGATTAGGGGTGAATTTCCCTACTTCCTCGTCCCCGACTGTTGTCGGTCTAAACGGCTTCCGACACCTGGACATTCCTAGCTAAACACCGGACAGCTCATCACGCGTCCCCCAGTGGTCCAGAGACACCCCCCGAAAGGGTCTCCACCCTCGGCATGTCTAAGCAAACCCTGCGTCCTGACCTTACAATGGAGCTCCTAACCAGCGACTATGCTCGTGGACCCTATTATTTATAATATCCGAAGGACCGAAAACGCCGTCCTAATCGTGGCGCGGGAAAAGCAGGGCCTCCAGGTGCGCCGACCCTGCGGACGGGATCAGCCTTACCTTATCCAAAGTGAACTACGGCGCTACCAATAAATTGTTAACCACTAAATGTCTCGATTCCATCCGCACGGTCGTCCCTGGGAGAGGTTCCTCCGTCTTCCTATCTAACATCGGGGGCGATACAACGATAAGGACCGGCGTTTCGATTAGGCACGACGAAAAGGGAACCCGGCGCCACGTGGGGGGGTGGCGAGAATCTTCCTATTGCGAACAGATCCGTACTGTTTATTTGAACACATTCTGGGTGTTCCTCTGGGCTTGCGACGCTCCTCGACGCGAGCGATGGCGAAAACTAGGGCTGGACGATATTCTTTAGGGGAGGAGCACAGGTGTATCTCCTTCCGAGAAGGTACGAAAGCCTCGGTGCCGTGCTACGGGGAACCTTGCGCCAGGGTGGCGGGTATTATTGTCGGTTATCTTCGTGTCCCGCGGAATGGCTCGCGAGTTTCGAGTCGCCACGTCGATACATATCGGGGCCTTGTCGACAAATTCGGGGCCCGGTACTCGAGGGTACTCGCAATAATCCCTTGGTACATGCAGTGCTCCCTAGGTGTGCGCGGTCGTCCCAGCTCGCCTTATCAGGAGGTCGAAAAAGGTACTCGGGACAAGCTACGGGACCGATTAGCTCGTACATCGGTTCCGTGATATGTTGTGGCTGTTAAGAGATTTATCGAGCACGGTCGTTCGGTCGCTACTTAGCTCCTGCCTACGTTTTCTGCCAGCGGGGAATCGCGGCTATAATACCATGCGCAGAAAGATACAGGACAATGGACTTGTACATACGCCTAACGACCTTATCAGCGGTTAGGTGGAACGGACGTCTCGTGGAAAATGCCCGCTACCGTCAAAGGGTTTCCAAGACCGCCTCAAAAGAGGACCTTCCAGAGGACTCGGACACCTTGTAAAGGTTCAAATTAAATCTAGGCAAATCTGTGATAAAAGGATCACTTGGACTTAGAGCTATTTCATCTATCACCGGTATTTCTGATGTATATCGAGGTTGACTATACGAGGGTAATGGAAATAATATTAAGATAGAAGAGAGATCGGACAGTTATATGTCGCCCTCGGAAAGGGCAACGCCGAGTGGCGTCTCGCTCTTCATGTATGTCTCGTGGAAATAGGTTTATAAGATATATATACATATATATCTGATTTGTACATCGCGTGTCGATTGACGGACACTCGTCTCGTTAGGGACTCGGATGAACCCGGGACCCTGCCCACCCTCCCTCTTCTTCGTTAGTCAATTTTCCAAGAAACGTCTCGTTCGGGAATCGTTAGACCTAATTCCATTCGTATACAGGTTTCTTATATTAATCGCCGAGTATTTACACCCCCGGTGGTAATCGGTCCCGGTCGACCGATCTAAAAGTCAGCTTGCTGAAAAGAGCTCGACGTGGCGAAAAGTTACGCTATGCATACATATAGATACATATATATATATATATATATATATATATATACTACACCCGTATCTTTAGAAAAAAAAAAACGTCCGTTTCCGGAAGAACAAAAAAAAAATAATCATAAAGAAGACAGGAGAGAATAAATAATCTTTGACACTCGACGCGAGTAACTGTACTTTCATGGAGGATGAGTTATTCTAAGCATTCCTTTCTTTCTCTCTCCCTTATTTTCCGACCGTTCGCTCCTACTCACGTGTACTTCGTCGCACGCACACACGCACGCGCCGAAATGCACCGCTAATAATTAACAAATTACACGCAAGAATCCCTTTCCAAGTAAACCCGACTGTGGACGAACAAAGAGACCCTTTCAAAGAATTTACGTTTCAAGGAAAAATAATAAAATAAAATAAAATAAGGAGCTGCACCGTTCGCGGGCATTTTCTCACTCAGTGGATTTGGCGAAACGTCGGTACCATTGACTCTCCCTCTATTAAAATGTCCTTATTGTTGCTTTTCATCGTCTTACCGCCAAACCCCCCCGCGACATGAAGCACTTTTCTTAGTTAGAGGATAAAGAAAAAAGAAAAAGAAAAAAAAATGGGGAAAATGAAGTCGTGGTCTCTGTAGTCACATGTTCAACCGTTTGAGTTCTAGGGGTAATTGAAAAACCAGTGTCGAAAAAATGCCGAACAACCCTACAGCACTCGCTATTTCAATAGCTCTAAGAACACCGTCAGTCGTCCTTACCGTATTGGATTATTTTTTCGACATGAAATCCACACCGTTCATAATGTACCTTATTTCTTCGACATGAAATCAAAATACTACTAGAATTCCGACATAAAATCCATCCCGTTCATAAAGTACTTTGTTTCTTCAACATGAAATCTGATAATCGCGATCGCGCTACTTGGGACTCAAACAGTTAAATGGCATCGCATAATGCATTTCCTATTTATTTCCATTCATTCTCGGTTGCGTCGCGCACGAGCGTACGGAAAGTTCAATTGCGCACCTCTCCACGGTCAGGCTCGATCCAAGGGAACGTACTACTATAAATTGAAGGAAACGTTCTACGTGACCGAAAATGAAACCGGTACCCTGTTGTCGGCGCGATTACCTATTTATACCCGTAATCGCGACTTTCATGCCGAACGAGAAAACGCGACACGGCGTTCCGCGTTTTTTAAGGCACTATACGGTCCATCGTCCCCCCACGTCCGATTAAAATCTAAAATATTTTACATACGGTGCACCGTGTCATGCGCCACGGGTTAATTACTCTGTACATTTCGTCTATACAGGAGCGAGGTGCATATGTACACGTGTGATCTGCAAAGAGTTCATTTCCCTATCCTTCCTTGACGAGAGCAGACCGTCGTTCAAAGCGATGACTAGGTGTTCGCGACGTCGAAGTCAAACCCCCCGAAAAAATAAAATAAAATAAAGGAATAAAAATAAAAATAAAAAACAAGAAAAGCGGAGCCCTGATATGCCCTGAAAAGTCATTTGAGCACTTCGAAGGACTTTGTGATGTACGAGCCGAGCCCAAGATGCAAAAATGGAGCTCTAATGGCCCTGGCTAATCGTTAGAGCGTCATTCGATTTCGGGCCATTTTGCGCACATAAATCGAACAGCAGTCGGCAGGACTCGCCTAATTCCTCGAGCATAATCAAATTCAATCCTAACGTATTGATCTTAAATAACGAAATGAAATTTCATGCGGTCCGATTGTTAGGGTCAATTGTTATTTAGGGTTAACAGGGTAGGATATGAATCTAGGATGAATTCGGTAAGGGCGATTTCAGCTCAAACGACTAACCAGGGCTCGCCTATCCTAGGAATTGTACCGACAAGCGTTTCTTCTACGACGCGAATATGATGTATAGAATTAGGCTAATTCCCGAACACGGTAACTTCGTGTCGACTTATGCTCGGACAGATCACCAGATACGAGGTATACATTCGATAAGTAACGGCGAACAGACGGAAACGATTGTGAACCGACCTCGACCACCGAGACGGTCCTTACCCGTAAACGTCGTTCGATGATCAGAAGAGAAGAACCGGAAAAAGTGGTAATGTATCGAAGGAAACTTCTCCACCGAGCTTAGGTGCTCGGAAAGCATCATCGAGGGACCCGGAGAAACGGAAGCGAGAAAATCAGACCCCCTTCCGATCCACCATGTATCTAATCAGAACCCATGAATGGATTTCTATATCCTCAGCCGAGCGCTTCGGCGAAAGGAAGACCTAACTGCTCTAAATCCTGAAACCCTGAGATATGAAATAATCACCCCGCAAATTTATACAAAGATTCGAAGCGACCAGTAGATAAGAGTGCTCCGAGAAGCTCCTCGCGGTCGGAAATCAGCGAAAAAGATTTCCTTCGATTTCGTACAATAAACAACAAAGTCAAGTAACCGAGAGTGTCGATCGGCGTTAAAAAAATCGTCACAATCGGTTTCGATGATTTCCAATAATTTCCAGCTGATTTTTCATTACGGGTATCAAAATCCACGATTTCTAGTTGAATAAAAACCCCTCGGAGTTCTCTACCTCGAGGGAAAGAGATATCTACACGAATGGACATTCCGTATCTTTCGCCATAATTCCGCCAAAAAGGGTCCTTTCTTATCATTAGTCGAGCCCTAGGAGCCCTCGATTCGGCCGAACGATATCCTCGCACGAAAGCTATTATCTATTATCTCCGCCTTCTCCTTCGCGACGAGGAGAGCTTCTCCCTCGCCGGACCGAGGATAAGTGAACCGCGTAATTATGTATGTACACACGGGCGCACTTTTCTTATCATTTTCTCTTTTGTTTTTTTTCCCCTCTACCTTTCCTTTCCGTCCGGCGTGAGAAGACGCCGCAGAGCGCGCACACAAATGTCTTTCCGCCTGTCGAGAAGCGACCCGGTACACGCTACTGTACATTCCCCGACATAACATTAACGCGTATATACATATTACATATTGCATGTTGCATTGCAGAAGTCAACTCGCAGGATCATCCCCAAAGGCGGTGCCAGATCGCGTCCAAAGTGTTCCAAAGCGTCCCCGACGATGCATCCTCGCACAGACACATCCAAAACACCTGTTGCGCCCTCGCCAAGTGATATCCCGAGGAAAAATCACGGGTGACAATAAACAAAAACGAAGAGATTCAATACAAACACCTGTCGGATGCTCTTCGCGAGCTCCACTCGTATCTACGTTGATCCGCGTTTATACCGCAGTTTCATTGGAGATGCTTTCTACCCTGAGTACTCTTATCATCTTTGGCATGTAACGTGACACGATGGTATGATAGAAAATATCCTCAAAGAAAGAAAAAAAAAATATAAATAAATAAAAAAAAATCAAGCGCGTGTTCAACAATTCTTTTTCCCTTTGTTCTTATGCATCGAGGATGCATCCAGGATGCACCGAGGAATCAACGAGGAATCCTCTCGATCGCGACCACCGTCTTTGAGCAGGACTGCAATTTACCACCAACGTGGGGAGGTGAATTGTGGCTAATTACTTTCATGAGGTCGTATTCGCGCGTGCCGTGGAAGAAAAAAGAAAAAGAAAAAAAAAAAACAAGCAAGCGGAAATCCACGCGACAAGGAACTCTGATGCGAGCGAACTTAAAACCGTCAGTCGTTTCTCGCTGTTGTGTAGTGCGTCTCTAGCGAGTTTCTTTGTGTTATATCCTTTTGTCTCTCCCTCGATATCCTTTTCAAGGTGGGCGGATTGGACGCGGGCATCGAGCCGAGGCCCGTGTCTTTTGGTTGCGATTAAAGTTAACGGAGTTTGGGGCCCCCTTGGCCAGAGGTGCAATTAGACTTGCAAAGTCAGGACGAATGAGAACCACGCGGTTGGTCGGAGCGTTTGGACGCTAGACGTCGATCGGCTATCTGGTCTGATAAGAGATACCATCCTTGACCCCATCGGAAAGTACTCCGAATCTGATGCGGAACCATCCTCGAGACTCCCCGAGAGATGCATGCCCCTCGTGCAGATGGTACAGAGGAGTGTCTCCTTTCCAAAAATTCCGAAATTTACCAAAGACCCTTCGGTCGCTCATGAGGAAAGGGGCAATGGCTCGATTTCTTGGCTTAATCGCTTATCAGGAATTAACCCTTGATATTGCGATCGACCGTCTATCGGGTTAGCGCGTCCAAACGCTCCGTACGACGTCCTAGCTGTCCATCCCATCTCTCCCAAGACTCGTCGGCGCTGGTCAAGGGTCTAACGCCTCCTCGAGAAATACCTAGGCAGATGGAAATAACCGAAGGAAACGTTAAATAGAGTTAAAGGCTAGTTACACGCTAAATTAAATAGAGCCCTTACGCGTCTAATTACGGGCTAACTTAACGGCTACTCGCCCGGAATCCCCTGGTCTCCGTCCGTGGGGCTCCGAACGTTCCGCAAAGTGCGCAAGCTAGGGGGTGGAACGTCGAGGTGACGGACCCCCACGGAGAGGAGAGCTTAAGCGGGGTCGAAGGAACGGATGAAGACCTTAGACTACCAGGAAACCGGCGAAACGCCCCTCCAAATGATCCACGATCTTCCTTGAGCAAAATATAAAGAGACTCACAAGCGACGCCGGTAAGATTTAACTCATCCAACCCATGCGAGAAAGGAATAGAACTCTCCTCGTGGCAAAGGACGGCATGTCACGAGAAAATTGCGATGCTTCGTCGGTTTCCTGCTTTCTCAGGTCTCCGTCTTCTCGCCCGGTGAAGAAGAACATGTGTCAAGAGCCGACAGCCACCGCGATCGAGGAGTGACTCACGAGCGTCCGACATAGACGAGAAGGCAGTTCGCCGTCTTGGTCATTCGGTTGGACGTCTCCGCCGTCCACTCGAAGGAAAAATGGGCGTCCGTCGCTTGGTCCAAGGACCGAAGCGAAATAGAAACGCTAGCCTGGTGGCAACGGGCCCGAAGGGCGAAGTCGCCGTCAATGCGAAGACCTGGAGCGGAGCCGGGTCCTCGTCGTCAGGAAAGAACTATGAATACAGACTGGTGAAAGCGTAATAATCGATTTTCCGGCATAGACGAAAATGAAAGTGATTCTCGGGTCCGATCGGACCGCGACGTCCGAGGCGTCGACGTCGTGGATCTCCTCTGGATGTCGAAAAGCTCCCGCGGACGACCCAGGTTGGGAGGATGTCGAGCTCGAGTCGACTCTCGGCCTCAATCCAGACTGACCTGAGTATATCTTTGTACCTTGAGAGCCCCGAAGGCTCGCCTCGAGATAATGGAGGCCGGAGCGTTCCTGGTGCGGGGCCCGAAGTCGGCCTCAACCGGCCCTCATCTGTCCAGGGGTATGTCCTCGGCGTTGGACACGTTGCCCAGATACTGGAAGCCGTTCTTGAAGATGCGCCCACGGCTGGTCCCGGCTTTGGTCTGGTCCAGGAGGGTCACGTTGTCCTCGAACTCGCGCACCCACCTGGCGGTCTCGTTGCCCCAGTGGAACCTGATGAGCGCGGCATGGTGGTAGACCTTCTTGATGCCCAGATTCCTGACCTCGACACCTTCCTCCGAGTGGTAGAACGAGCTCTCGCAGAAGTCCTGCCCAAGGAAGGGCTCCAGCTCCGCGACGATCTGCATGAATGTCGGTCGGTCGCAGGGCCTCCACTTGAAGCACTTCTCCATGATCTTGTGCAGGTTCTCCGGACAGTTTCTGGGTATGTTGAGGGTGCCCTTGCGCAGGACGTAGTTAAGGACCTCCTCGTTGGCCAGGCCCTGGTAGGGTATCTCGGCCAGGGTGACGATCTCGTACAGAACCACCCCATAGGACCACACATCCGAGTCCGAGGTGAAGACCCCATCGGACAGATTCTCCGGGGCCATCCACCTGATCGGCAGCAGGCCCTTCTTGCCGATCTTGTAGTAGTCGGTCTCGTAGATGTCCCTCGCCATGCCGAAGTCGCCGATCTTGCAGACGAGGTCCTTAGAGATCATGCAATTGCGGGCGGCCAAGTCCCGGTGGACGTATTTCTTCGACTCGAGGTAGGCCATGCCATCGGCGATCTCCGCGGCCATTCTGAGGACGCGAGCCGCGTCCGGCACCCGGTGGGTGTCGCGTATCCTCCGCAGGTAGGTCTTCAGGTCGCCGTTCTCCATGAGCTCCATTATGACGAAGGGGGGGTTCCCGATCGACACCACCCCCAGAAGCTTGATTATATGGAATGTCGAGAAGTTCTTCATGACGGACGCCTCGTTCAGGAACTCGTTCTTCTCCCGCTCGTTCGCCGCCTCGGAGATGGTCTTTATGGCGACGTCCTCCGTGCCGTTGAGCCGACCCCGATACACCATTCCAAAGTTACCCAGGCCCAGCTCCTCGAGGATCTCCACGTCCTCCCGGGCCACTTCCCAGCTATCGATCACGTACTTCGTCTCGATGTAGTCCGGGTTTACGCTGGCGATGAGTCGCTCCTGCGTCCTCTTCGCCCGTCGTCTGCGTAGGATCAGGATGACCGTCACCGTAGCGACGGCGAGGGTCGTAAAGGTCAGCACGAGCACGATCACCATCAGAATCGCGTTGTCGCTCTTCAGGCCCACCGAGAAGTAGATGATCTTCGAGAAGTCACCCTCGCCGGCCAGAGACACGGATCTAACGCGGATGCCGTATTTCCCCGGACTAAGGTTCTTTATGTAATGAGCGTGCCGCTTCTGCCGGAAGCTCGTCTCGGAGAGGCACTCCGTGCTCTTCTTGGCGTCCTTTACGTCGAGGTTGGTGTACTCGACGTGGTACGCCACCGTCAATCCGTTCGGCTCGTTGGCCGGGTCCCATGTGAAGACGACGATGGAGTTGTTCGACACCTGGACCTTGGGGTTCCTCACGGTGTCGGCGTTGGGCCTCTTCTTGGTTCTGACGCTCGTGTACTCGACCGGGGAGCACATCTGGGTCCCGTTTCTGCGTTTGTATCCACAGGCCGCGACCGAGATCGTGTAGAGGGAATAATGGCGCAGCCTCTTCAGGGAGTAAGAGCCATTCCGCGAGCTAGCGTTGAAGACGAACGAGTAGTACGTACCATTATGGATCCTCTCCGGGAACTCCTTCAGGAACCCACGCTCGCCGGAGTAGCAATAATTCTTCCGGCCGGGGGACAAGTACCCGATGGTCGCGTTCTCGTGGCAGAAGATCTCGAATTTCTTCGGGGCCGGGGTCTTCGGGGCAGATTCTTTGGAGCAGCAGGACTCGGGCTCCGACTTGTTCGTCCTGGCCTCCATCGTCGTTGCCTTCGTGGTCACCTCCTGCGCCCCCTCGTCCTCCGGCTCGCTGATGAGACCGTGCTTGCAGTAGTCCCTCGCCGAGAGGAACTCCTCGTCCTCGGGGCGAATGTACCCGTTTATCATGTAGTACCCAATGGGCCCGTTCGGGAACTCCGGAGGTTCCCATTTGACGAGGATCTCGGAGTCGCTGACCGGGAAGGACGCCACGTTGGTCGGCACCGAGGGCACGTCGCTGTCCGTCCTGAAGAAGATGATCTTCGACTGGCCGACCGGGGCGGCGAAGGAGCGCTCGTTCCTCGCGGTGAAGGTCTTCACGTATACCCCGTACATCGTGTAGGGCTCCAGGTCGGTGATCAGCTTCGACACCGAGGGCCTGGTCGTAGTGTCGACGTCGACGATCTGCCAGGTGTTGTTGCCGCAGGCGTTCGCCTCGAAGCTGATGTTCCTGTTCTCCGTGGGGATGTAGTTGAGCAGATAACCGAGGAGACGCTGACCCTCCGGGGGCTCGTAGCTGTCCCAGGCGAGGTGGGCGAAGCTCGAGCCCATCTCCTTGACGGTGATGTTGATGTTAACGACGTCGCAGGCCACCTTCTCGCCGTTCGACTCGGGCTGCACCTCCAGGTCGGAGAAGTTCGAGATCCCGACCATCCTCCCCAGGTGCTCGATCTTCGAGAGGCACAATTTAGGATTGTAGTGGAAGAACAGCCTGCCGTTCTGAATCTCGATCTGCTGCGACTCGGGGAACAGCTCCGACAGGTTAGGATTGTCCAACACGACCAGGCTCGCGTTGTTCATGTCCAGCTTCTCGCCCTTGATGACGCGCAGCTTCTTGAAGAATCCAAGGCTCGTTATCGGGAAGGAATGCGTGATCTTCAGGTAGTCCGTGATCTCCTCGATCAGGCCGAAGGCGTCCGTGAGCTCGTTGACGATGTTCGGATTGCCGTTGCGAATCTGGAACTCCAGGGCACCCTTTATCACCGTCGTCCCCCGGAAGGTCTGCGCGTCCGAGATGTGCCTGATAATGGCGCCCTGGCCGATCTTCCGACAGCGTCCCTCGCAGACGCGACACATCGTCATCTGAAAAACAGACATCGGGTCAAACAATTTCCAAGACCGATTCTCTCACACCTTAAGGGTACTATCAAGATCCAACACCATAGACACACATGGTATTACCCACACGCTCTTTCGCTGCTCAAGGGGACGCGAAATTCCCATCAAAGAATTCTCTCGTTAATGAAACCTTTTCTCCAAACTGGACGTACCAAATCGATTTAAACTTAACAATACAAACACGGAGGTTAATTCATGAAATTTCAATGTCTAAAAATATCTTCACAGATACTTTAAAAAATCTCTTATAAAGCATTCAATTTCGCGAGGGTCAGGACACCTTCATTACAGCCTTAACGCATTAAACGCTGCAAAGAAACGATTCGGTACACTCAATTTGGAGGATTCATGAATTTGGAAATTTGGAAATTTGGAAATTTCATGAATTTCATGAGCAAGACATCGGATGTCACTTAAGCATCCCCTTAATAGCGGAATAAAAATTCCTTCGATAACCGAATAGGAAAATATGAAATTCGACGAAGCCTAAAACCCAAGGGGGACTCAACCCTCTCCTGGGAACCGTCTAACGAGTCGTCTCCAGAATTCGTTCGTCGAGGATCCGCAAAAACGGAGAGAGCCGGGTGCAGAAACGGACGTTAGGGCCCGGCGTAGGCGATAAAGTCGGTGCTTACATTATTTTCGTCGACATCGTCCTCGAAGCCGTCCGGGCACTGAGTGAGGCACGAGCCGTTAAACGGCCGCCACTTCTGCTCGTCGTCGTACCTTAGCGGTATTCTTAGATGATTCATTCTGAGGCACTCCTCCTTACTGATGCACCGCCTCGACAGGTACGCGAATCTGAAAAGGGAAACGAGCGCCAAATAAAGCGTAAACCAACGCCTCGCGAGAGAATTCCCTCTTCCCTTCTCTTTTTTTTCCCCCTCGCCCGTTTATCCCCTCCGCCGAAAGGTGTGCGATGGGGAAAAAAAAAGAAAAAAAAAAATGGAGAGAGAGAAAAAGGTGAGGAAGGATGACAAAAGAAGAAAGGAAAATCTACGACCTCGGGGAGAGCCAAGTTAATATGTCGCTTAACGACGTACCCGTTGGATGCTGGAAACGAGCGAACGGCGGAATGCGCGTGCAATTACGTCACGGTCACGTAATCGACACATGCGAAGGCAATGCGTATACACAAAGTCGAGGGAACGGCACTGACTAACGTAATAACGCGGCGTTATGTATACGGCCGATTGGCGGAAAATCGGCCGAGTGGCCTCCTCGTGATCTTTCCCAGATTCCATTACGAAGGTACTTGAACGCAATCGCACCCTAAGAGTGTTTTAGATTTCCCTGTAACATTGCTCCGGATAAGTGTACGTGCACATAGGTTTACATAGGACTGGCATCGTGGCTCGTTAATGCAATGCAAGTCTTAACGTTAAGTGGAAACGCGTACGCGGAATGGCGAGGCCTGTTATCGAGGAGAGCCGTGTACAAAGCGGGGTAAGCTCGTTGAAAAACAAGTGCGCATAACCGTGACATTGTACGAGCACCCTACTTCTAGATGTAAATCGAACTTCCTAGTAACAACCAGTCGAAAACAAGCGGTCATAAAGGCACCGTACACCCAGCTGCTCTGAGTCACACCTCGACGTTGGCGGCTATCACCGGAGCAACCTCTGAAAGTGCCACGACATATAAACCATCGTTCCTCCAGTACGCGAAGTACGCCGAGTAAATCGACCCCTCGAAATAGCTCATAGATTCCTAGGAACGCGAACGTTAATCGACGATCGACCCCTTTCGAGGGCTGTCCGATAAGACGAGGGTGAAACGATTGCGAAGAACCTAGCGCCGTCCATAACAGTAATTAGAATTTAATCCCCACCGATAAGGGCAGATCCTCCCGACATAAGAATATACAAAAGAAGCCTGAGGTCGGAGATATTAAGAAAAAAAAAAAATAAAAATAAATAAATAAACGAAGGTGACATTTCCCCTGGTTGGATGTTTTCCACCTGCACGATGCGTGTGTCTACCCTGGAATTGGGAACGAGCGCGTTGGATTATCAGTCAGAATAAGGTGGCCAATGCCGGGTGGATAAGGAGTATCGGGAAAAAAAAAATAAAAATAAAAATAAAAAGGGCATCCGGGTGCTTACAATTCCGTCGGACAGCGTTCCATGCATCGGCCTTCGTGCCGATAGTGCTTGCAGACATAGCAGTCGCTATCAGTGGGACCTCGACACTCTCCCAGGCACTGGCTGTGGCAATTCGTCGGCCCCGTGTCCTGGCAATACTGGGCCGACCAGCAACGTCCTCCGGGACACTGCGAGCAACCTGCAAAATGACATCATCCTGGATCAGGGCCACGGAGTCTGGGGAATCGCTTTTGCAAGCGCACGCGCCAGGAGACCGTCCCTCGGCGCGTTAACGACGGGGTGATAACGCGTTATCGTGCCTCCTGAAGGCCCACCAAGTAGCGCAAAGCTATGCCAGGTCTCGTTCAGACTGGAACCCGCCTTGAGAAGCCGAATTACCACACTGACTCTCCGTCTTAGCTCAGAAGTTGCGGCGAAATTCGAACATCTGACTCATCGATCGGGTTAACCTCAAAGGTCGGGCAGGCCGGTCAAGAGCCACGTGGCCGCGGACGTCAAACGCTAACGGCCACCTCTCGCTGCCGAATCGGCCATACGGCCAAGGGGAAATAAATTTCCATGAATACTTTTTAACGAGGACTAAACGACGCCGACATATACACGCCGCCGGCAACTTTGTACACGCTTTGCTCCCCTACTTCTTGAACAGAAAACGTTGTTTAATCGCGGCATGCGGCAGGGAGGGGCTGCGAACTTTGAGCCTTCGGCAATCGCCGTTAACAAACCGACGGTTTCGCTCCTACGTGGTCGTATTGTCGTTTATTAATTTATTAAAGGGTTCCTAGGGGTCCCTCGCGTGTAACATCCTCGAGACCCTTCCACGGCGGCCGGGCCAGGATGCGACGATAACCGCGTTAAATGCGTTAAAAGCGAACAAAAGCGAAACGACAATAATCCTAGCCCCCCTCGGTTCCGGGACAATGTCTCACGCGGTTATCACACCTTACGACACCTCTCGCCGAGTGGATTTCCCCGAGTTAACGATAACGTGGAAGGGAAATAGAAAACGAAAAGAAGATAAAAAAAAAGGGAAGAAAAAAAAAACGAATGATAATTTCATAGAGACCGGTTCATAAATGCAGGGAACAGGTTCCTAGAGTCTCGCATGAGTTCCCGCAGAGGGGAGGCCCCCCTTATCGGTTGTTCGAAGGTTCGTTCCAGCAGGGCGCATGCGCAACGCAGAGCAGCGCGCCGACCACCAGGAGGAGGCCCTGAGAGAATTCTCGCGCGGTTTTCCTCCGACACGCCCGGGATAAATGCATTCTCGTACCTGGCCGAGTGCAAGTGCATTCGCCGATGCCCTGGCTAGGTATCCACGTGGAGGGTTTAGATAAGAATATTGGCGGACCACTTCGGAGCAGGGCTTGGCACCCCAGGGTACCATCGTTAACGGTCGGAAAAAGTAAGACGGCCAAACGTCCCATGGAAGTTCCAAGAGCACCCGAAACACGAGTGACGGACCCTAAGTACTGATTTCGGGTAATGAAAATGCGCCAGTACCCTGATCAGAGATCCTTGTCTAGGAGCGGAAATTCAGAGCCGGTACCGAACTACGTATCAAAGGAGTGCCCGCTCGGATTACTTACACGAGTCGAGCCTCGGTCGAGAAATAAACTTCGGTTGAAGTGCAATTTGATTCGGGGATAAGGAAGCGCAATCACGAAGTAATTAAAGGGCGCGAGGGTCGTAACCCTCGGCCACACAAGAGCGAGCCGGAACGAGAGCCGTCTAAAACGTTCTTAAACGTTCATAGACATTCAGAACGTATACGTTATAAATGTCGTTCGGAAACGTTAGAAAAATAGTACACCCCGTACGAATAAAACTCTTGCAAGGAAAATGGTAGAAAATCTGGATTTTTTTTTTTATAAACAGGGTAGCGGAGGATAATTTCTTTTATAGGGTGCGCGGCATCTTCTCGAGAAAGACGATCTTCGGATGCACCTGTGACACGAAATCCAAGGACTTAATTATTCATCTATTCGTCTCTAAATTTCCGGGTTCGGGAACGACCCCTGGGGGACGCGGCATCCCCGGTATGTCGGCCTTCGACGACGACGTTCTTCGGAGATCTCGAGCGAGCGACGAGATAATCGTCTCCTTGGCACCGGCGATGTGCAGCCGGTGCGGACATCCTCTAATCCAGTCCGAGGGGAAAAATGGATTTATCCTCGGTGCCGCGTTACCGTGTTCCCCCCGCGGAGATAAGCGCAGCCGGTGGTACCACCAGGCATCCCGTAAATCCTCGGCGGCGATAACGCCGCGGTTGGAAACCACGGTGGACCGCGATACCGCGCCGATACTCCTCTCTCGTCGGTATCGCGAAATTCCTTGACCCGCCATTCGCGCACATAACGAGAGGAAGGAAATCGAAAAGCCGTCAAACAATTGGCCAGGAGGCGAGAACCGAACAGCTTCGACTCATTAGGCTTATAAACCGTTTCTAATGTTTCCGGTACGCGGGATACAGATTTAAATGTGAAATTAAATCCCGTTAATACCGAACGATCTACTAGATTATCGCGATAATTACTGCGATCGGTGTCACTTGATGCGAATCAAGAAAATGAAGAAAAAAGAATAAATAAATAATAGTCTCCACCAGCCCGTGGGAATCATTCCCCGTCGTCTCCGGACGAGTAATCACGGACTCCCCGGGTCGCGGTCCCGAGGAGAACGTCCCGATGCATCGCAAGACCACGTAGTGGACGTCAAAAAAGATATCCCCTGAATTTCCCACCAGGTGTGGGTGGGCGTCCCACATTATCCCGACATTAGCCCAGTCTCTCCGGTGTCCCTGTTTAGTCAAGCGCTTACTAGGACAAGTCGTGAGCATGTTCTTGTTATCCTCGATGTACTTGTCCCCGGCGACGACGATGGCGTCCCAGTCGAGGGTGTTCGTGTAACAGAGATTCGGATTCTTCTCGATGCGCACCCCTCCTCTCGAGATCTTCCTCAGCTTCTTCAGATCGATCTGCGAACCGTCTACGTGTCCATCATCGAGGGGCAGAAAAACTTAGGCATTACGAGAGGGGGGGTCAAACGGCCGGTTAATTCGAGTAATTGATTAACGTCAGTTGACCCCGGGGATCAAGTAGGCTCGGTCGGAGTAATTAAAATAAGTCGTCGAGAAGCCATCGGTGGCCGAGCTTTGATTCCGCGTGGGAATCCCAATTGGGCTCTTGACTAGGTCACAGAGCCGATTGGCGATACGTGACGCGTCTACGCACTTACACACCCCGTATACGTAAAACCGATCTAGAAAGAGATCCGATGCCCGATTACAGCCTCGGACACCACTTCCTTCTACATGATCCGATCGAAAAGGCCACCGGGGATCAATTGGCACCGGAGTACGAGAGATTTCACCTACGTCTCTCCGAGTTCGACCGCTCGTTTTTAATCCCCCTCTCGGGTGACACCACCTCGCCGATACATCCGGAACCCACTCCCCCGTTAAGTAACGCGTCCCTCTTTCCAAGGGAACTCCAACTTTCGACGCCCCGAGCCAGTTAAGGCTCATGACGCACCAGAAAAAAAAATGAAAAAAAAATATCGCGGATACCGAAATAAGAAACCGCGTCGAGCGCGATTCCTCGACATCCGGTATATATCCTGGACTTCCGTCAAAGTCGGAGCCTGGTCGACGAAATAATTCGGTTAACACTAGAACTACCAAGACCAGTCAAAATGACTGTTTTCAAATGGCCCATCCTATACAAAAAAAAAAAAAAAAAAATCCGCCGGTAGTTCTAGTGTTAAACGCCCGGCACTTGTTCCCCGGAGTACATGCATTACATTAGACTTGCGCCCCATTTCCCACCCTGAGATAATATGCCCCCTACCTCAATTTACGCGACGCTTTTATTACGCGATAAAAGTTGTATAAGCTATTTGAAATAGATACGTATTTTTAAAATTATATTATACGTGCTAGCCTGCCATTTCCAATACTTTTGCCCTTCGCCCTGACAGGCTATATTTACGCGAGTTTCATTAGCGTAAAACGAATCCACGTGGAGTGGATACTCCGCGTAAATTGAGGTAGGGGTGTAGATTGGTCGATTCAAAGAGATATGCATTGCGACAATAAAATCCCGGGATCAAATACGTCCGAAGAAATGTCGAATCGAGTAAACGGAATTCGTTAAAATCGAGGTGAATTTTTTTTTTTCTCTGCGAAATAAATATTTCTTGCAATTGTACGTGGTCCAGGTAACGAAATAAATGTGAACAAAAAAAAATATATATATATAGATATAAATTTGTTTCGGTCAAGCAATATTTTCTCAGGGTAGGTGAAGGCGCTCTCAGGGGATCTCTTTCCACGAGGGCTCGAGAGGAATTACCTCGTGCAGATTCTGCATCTCGTAGACCATGAAGGCGTAGTCCGTAAGGAGGACGTCCCCGCGGATGACCTCCAGGTTCGGGAGGAGGGTGCTGAGGCTCTTAAGGCCGTTAACCCTGTAGATAAGGAGATACCCGGTGATCTCCCGTAGCTCGGGGAAGGTCGCGTTCTCGAAGTCGGTCTCGATGTTCTTCTCCATCAGGACGATTTGCAGGAACCCCTCGATAACGCGACAGCCCTTAAGGATCGTCAGGTACTCGACGTTGTTCCTTATGTCGATGCTCTGGCAGATACCGTCGCCGATGGTCACGTTCTTGAACTTGTGGCCCTTCTCTCGCACCTCCTCGCTCGACTTTACGCTGGGCTTCGGCAAGTTGGACGAGATCGACTTCTGCGAGCTCTTCCTCGACGACGTTTCCATGGAACTGCTTGAGAGTAACAGAAAAACCGAGACCGTTGGGTAGAACATACTCGGAAGACCAATCGCGCGGGCTAACGGACAATTATCTTAATCGCTCGACTTAAAGCTAATTACCGTGACGCGGGTTACACGCACGTAATCGCGGATTTCGCGGATACAAATCGTGCCAACTCGATTGGCGCGGACCGGGCTAGGTATGCGAACAGGGCCCCGATTCGCGAGTTCGCGTGGATTTCTTTTTTTTTTTTTTTTGCATACGAATTGGCGCATTGAAATGGCACACCACGTGGAGGCTCGTTCCCGAGTTTATTCCTCTTCGCGTGAATCGGATAATTAGCGGATTATTAATTACGGGGAAAAGCGTGGAAAAAAAAAAGAAAACCGAGGGGCCATTTCCTCGATCCGACAAGTTAACATCGATATCGTTCGAGTCATTGAACACACGGGTTTAATAAAGTAATCACCGTCGGCTTTCCATTAACGAGGGAGTAATTGGAGCGGACAATTAACTGGTATTTTAAACGAATGGTGCGAACCTGTATTCCAACCGTTCAAGCAAAAATCCGTACATTCGGATCTAAGATGATAAAATGTGTTTTACTTAAGCGAGTCAATGCACAAAGCTGAAAATTTCCGCTCGCGTTTCGCAACGGCTTCGACACGTGCGGAGCGTCGCGGAATCGTTTTCGTAAGGCAGACTTTTCCTCGAGTGGAATCGGCCAGACCGAATAGTCAAAGGAGCGTGTTCGGGTTACCGAGAGTACTGATAGATATATTAACTCCTTCGCTACGACGGGTGACTACAGTCACCGTACGTTTGGTCCAATATTGCCTGCACGGTCAGACGAATCCCGCCCATATGTCGAAAAGGCTTCGTGTTCAAGGAGTTAACCGAACCATGACAGACTCGGGAACTTTCTCCCACAGAATTTAGAAACAAACATAGGTGAAATAGAAGCGCAAAAGGACAAGAAAGTTCCCCGAGAATTCTCCACATTTTCCTACCGCCTTAAACCATACTAAATATTCAAATTGCTACCATCCACGTTCTATCGCGCGTCACATATTCCTCATTCTTAGCCACGAGATAAGTACCCGCGATATGCAGAGAAGACCGAGACCTAGAAACCATATTCCTATCCCACGTTCAGAAATATTCCCGGGAATAATGCTTGTCGAAAACCCCGGAAAAAAGAGACAAGTACGTACAAAGTCCCCTCTTCTCTCCAGAACATGGTCTAGCGTTTGAAAGCCATACAGTAGACTCCCTTAAAACGCGAGTTCTTACAACGGGAATTCCTATAACGCGTCAAAAATATTCCGACTACCGTTTTCATACAACGCGATTTTCCTCGCACAACGCGCCGAATAACGAAACACATTGTGCGCTTTAAACGGGAAAAATTCTCGTACATTAAAAAAACCCCCCGCGTTTGGAAACCACATGTAAAAAAAATACCACGTTCGAAACTCATATTTGAACAAAAAACCACGTTTGAAACCACATTTTGAAAAAAGAAAAAAAAACACCCACGTTCGAAACCCGAGTTTTCCAATAAACCCATTCGCTCCACCGCCACCCCATGGGGCGCGCCCGGGCGTGACTGCAATTACCTCTGTCCGTCGATGGCGCGTTCGCTCCTGTACACGCAGGGCTCGGCCTCGTCCAAGAAGTAGTTCTCGAGGTCTACGAGGTCGAGGTCGGTCCTTGGCGGCTCCTCCTCCTCGTAGGGGTCGAACTTGCCGTGGGTAAGTTTACCGGGTAGCATCCCGGGAGCGTCGCGAGAGTGCCCCTGCCGGCACAATGCCACGGCCAGTAGACAGTGCAGCGCCAGCAGGACGGGCCACGTCCCGGCGGCGTTTTCGCGCCTCGCGGCCGTCTGCGCACGCGCGGTCCTCATATCTCGTCCCGTCCTGGTCCCGCCTCCGGCCCGAGGGTCTCTCCCTCGCGGCTAGTCGACGCCGCGCGTCCACCTTACCTCGCGGTAGCCGGTCACTCGGTCGGTCAGCGGTCCTTGGCGCGGGCTCTCGGGCCCATGGCTCCCCGGAGAGCCGAGGACGCGTCCGCGGGCCGGACGACCTGCCGCCTCGGAGCGCGGTCGACGAGTGCGCGACCGGTCGGCCGCTCCGCGCCCTCGGGCGGCGGGGTGGGGGGAGCCGGTCGCCGCGTCTCTACGCGAGTACCACTGGCGAGCGGGTTCGGCGCACTGCCGCGTGTCCGGCGCACGCGCCGCGCATCGGGACACCCACGTGCGGGAGCGCGAGCGCCTGCGCCGGCGCTCGCGGGCACTCGCCCGCGCGCACGCGCCCTGGGCGCACCGCGGGCTCAGAGCTTTTTGTTCAATATGAAGAACTTTCGCGCCCTCATGGCCGAGCCATCGCACCCCGTCCGCCGAACGTCCCGCGCAGCACCTGGAACAGAAAACAAACCCGATTTTCCTTGCATCCATAATCGATATTTATACTTTCTCTTTCCTTGCTCCCGCGCGACATTTGCGACATTTCCAACGGGAGAAAGGTACGTCTTATCACTCGTACCTCCATCGTGGGTGATTTTTAACGTCATAATGGGATAATAAATTATCCAATATCAAAGTTGATTTGAATTCATTAATTTAATTTCATCTCAAATGTTTTTCCACGAGGAAGGAAATGACAAATTCCATTAAATAATCCAATGCCTTCCTTGAGCGAAAGAGGAATTTTCCTTCGCACTGCCCCGAGAAGGTGGAGCACCGCGAGAGATCGCGCGGTCATATCCTCGCGATGTTTTCCTTGATATATAGGAATGTTTCGCCTAATTGACCCTCGAGGGCAACGGACGAGCCGTGATTCGCGACTTCTCCAAGGTCCAACACGTTTCGAACGTCATGGTCAACACGTGACGAATGTCATGGTCGCTGATCGCTCTCCGTATTTAATTTTTATCCTCCTTTTCTTTCCTCCTTTATGGAGATATACTTTTCCCTCCTCGTGTCGGGGCGAGCAGCGAGTCGATTCGAAAATCGATACGCGCGACCGAGGTCTGACACATGGCCAAATAGGACACGGTGTGGCAGGTATGTAAACAAACTGTTTGCCCGATCGGGGATGTAATTGCGACAACGCCGTTGTCGGCGGTATATTTACGACGATAACCGCGAGTTATCAGGGAACGCCGAACCGCGATATAGGGCGCCTTGGCGATTGTCTCCGTGAAGGCATTCCGGGGACGCCTGTTATTCGATACACGCTTGGAAAACATAGGCCTAACCGCCTCCATCGAAGATCGACCCGAATCGAAATTTACGTCACTTCGATAAGACGATTTTCTATCTATCGACCAATTTGTCGAAAATAATGAGACACCTAAAAATCGAATTTCACTTGAAAATACATTCACTCCTCGGGTGAAATATAAAATATCACGACACCTTTTGCCAACCTTTTCCTCGATTTGGGAAAAAAAAATAAAAAAAGAAGAAAAACCAATAACGAAAAAAAAAAACAGAAAAAGAAACGAGGCAGTCTTTTCGCGCTTGCGCGCGTAGAAATGGGCCACTTTTTATTTCCGCCTTTTTATCCACGGGAGGGGCGTCTCTCTCTCTCTCTCTCGTTGAAATCGTGGAAATAAAGTGGAGTCGAGTTGAAAGGGGGGTTAAATTTATCTCCGCTTCGATGACTTCCAGCCGGGTCAGAGTCGAAGGAGTACGAAAGAAGGGAGAGCTCGAATTAATGGCACGCAGCCGAGAGAGTCCCTCCTCCACCCTCCCTCTTTTTCTCTCCTTCAGGGCCCGTTCCTTTGAAGAAAATTAAGTCGCGTTGTTTGCCAGCACAATTAGACCAGAGCCAGATACGTTTATCAGAAATCGTGTCGTCATCCCGTCTGGAGGGAACGATTCAGACCTGGGCTCTCTTCCGAGTAATCTCGTGCTTGGTGTAAGAGTCAGTGTTCCGTGCCACGAGTACATTCATGGATCACTTGGGTAGATAATGAATATTAATTTACCGATGTAACGAACGGTCGATCCCGCTTTGACGATGGCTGGTTAACGGTCGCCTATATTCTTGCCGTCTTAACCCTCTATCTCGAGTCCCTCCATGGGCTAATAATAAGTAACAAACTACTCACCGCCGCGACTTAATTAATAATTAACCCAGTTATCGATTGCGCATGAAAACACGCGTTGCAACCGCGACGAACCCCGGGGAGAGGACGCAGGATAATAAATCGGGTCCTTTCCACCCAAACAAAATAAATAAAAAAAAAACAAATAAATAAAAATCCCACCTTTAACCCTTTCAATTCAAGTAAAATTGTATTAATACGGTAAATATCCAACGTTACGTCCACGTATACATTTTCTTCTTTGCAATGTTTCCACTAAACGTTTTCCTATGTATAAAAAATAAATTAAAAAAAAAAAAAAGAGAGCTTCAGTTACGAAGTACGTAAAAATGTATGTACGTTTCCATAGATTTTCATCACTGTAGGAAGAGTACCCGTACTCGGTCACGGAGAGGGGGGGTCAATTCTACGGAATAATTACTCTGTCGATTATTCATTCACGTACCTCCGTGGTTCGATTAGCCGTATAGTCATTGCACGCATGATAAATCCCGAACGCGTTCCATTCACACGGCTGATGAATGTCTGCCCGCCGATCGCGGTAATTCGACGGCGCCGACTGATACTTACGTGCCCTATTACCGTAATTATCGCGGTGGACGTTTTATTTTTGTCAGGGGGAGTAAACAGGGGAGAGGAAAAAAAAAGAAGAAGAAGAAGAAGCGTCGCCGGGAGGCCGCTGCGTTTCCGCCGACCGACGTGCCGGGCCATACCTCTTCGCGTGCCGCGGCTCTGCCTCCGCCGAGAGAGAAGAACCAGAGGGAGGAGAGAATGAGAGAGAGGGTAAGAGAGACGAGGAGCCGAGTTTCGAGATAATTATGTCATTAGGTGTTTACTGCCACGCGAGAGAGAGAGAGATACACCTCTCTACCTTCTATTCCGGGCGCTATGAGATACACGGACCCGCAAATATCGAGGCCCGTCACGACGCAGGTCGTATCGATTCGCGGGATCGATCGCGAGATCCTATCGCCGGACTTATGAGAGAACCGATCCCCGATACTCCGATAGCCTTACATTCCCGGGGCACGGCGACGATCCAGAGACCCGATTTGTCCGACCGCCTTGGAGGGGCGGGGGAGAAATCTGATTTATACGCGAATCGGAATGACCCGCGACTTACCGGTTTATTCCCCTGGTTCGTGTATTAATTTTATGAATTTTTTTCTTTTTAATCATTTACCATTTTTCTATTCATTTTCGAGTGTCGCCAGCCGCATCTAAGACGAGTAAGACCGGGCACGTACATGGTTAAAAGTCTGAAATTCCCATATCCTGAGGTATTACGAACGGGTCATGAAAATATTAATAAAATCTATTTTTCAATCTGGGTCCATCGAATCATGTGAAACCTCGGCACGTGACCTAAGGGAAAACGCGATGCTCGTGAATTTTCATATTTCTGATATTTTTCAATCTTACGCCAGGTCGGGTTTTTTTTTTATTTTTTTTTTTAACGAAACTCGAATTTGAAGGGTCGTTTATTCGCCAGGGCGAGGTAGCGATTTGTCGTTGGATCGGGACTAGATTTCGGAAAATTGAGGAATAACGACGATTTCTTGGGTTATTACGAATCTCTCGAACGATCGACGGAAGTCCCTCGATGCGTTATCACTCGCCGTTATCGGCGGATCTCTCGGTTTTCCCCCTTTTCCCATTTTTCACGGGGAACGCGGACTCGACGGACGTCACGGGGGAATATATGTGTAAATATACATGTACATATGTATATATATCGAGCGGCCGCGATCCGCTCATTCATAATTCCCCGAGATAACGCGGTAATAAATGTACACGCCTTGTGGGTGTGAGTACGCGCGAACCCGCCGCGTAACGTGGACATGCATTTTGCGTCTTCTCTCTCTCGCTCTGTCGGCATTTCGCGACTTGTTGCTCGGCGAGAAGATTCGCTTGTTCACGTTTCAGTTTAATCAGTTTAATCGTTTTTCATTAATCCGCGCCGACGTCGTCGCCAAAACGGATACGGACGAGACTTCGCGATACGACTCCCGACACCGAGTATCGATCATCCGACCATTATGATTCACAGGGAAAGGAAAAAGGGGCCAAAGGAAAAAAAAAAAGAAAAAAAAAAGAAAGTGGTACGACGAAAGTACTTGAACAAAAATGACACAAGGGAAATATATTTATACGCGATGAAAAATGACCAAGGTCTATCCTTGACAAACTGACCTTCCCCTCCAATTACCGTCTCGGTACAGGGCGACTTAATACACCGTTCCACTTGCAATTACGCACAAGACTCGTAAAGACTCGTTAGTGCTTAACCCTTTCAGTGGCAGCGAGTTGCAACTGCGCAGCTCGATCAAAGGTAATCAAGCTGCGAGGTACTCGGAGGGTTAAAAAAAAAGAGGGTTTCCTCTTATGGTGGTATAAATCGAGAAGAATGGGAAAAACGAGGGGCAGAAATAATCGGGTAGGCGGTATTTCCTGTTCGCGATGCGTGTCTTCGGTAGGGAAAAAAAAGATGGAAAAGTTATAAAAAAAAACATATATATATATATGAAACTGAATAAAACAGGTTAATAAGAATAATAAAACGCCCCGTCGACGAAGGAGCGATCGTGTGCGTGCACTTGCATCGGGCTAAGCGCCGATTGGCGATATCAGCGGTTTCCTGTTCGCGATGCGTGTCTTCGGTAGGGAAAAAAAAGATATAAGAAAATGAATAAAACAGGGGTTAATAAGAATAATAAAACGCCTCGTGGACGAAGGAGCGATCGGATGCGTGCACTCGCATCGTAGGGGAAAAAAAAAAAAGATGAGAAAATTAGAAAACAAAAAAAATATATACATAAGAAATTGAATAAAACGGGGGATAATAAGGATAATAAAACGTCCCGTAGACGAAGGAGCGATCGGATGCGTGCACTCGCATCGGGCTAAGCGCCGATTGGCGATATCAGCGGTTGGCTCGACATACGCAACTAAAATGGAAATAAAAGCCCCTCGGATGCCATCGTGGGAGGGCCTAGCGTCGTAATAATCGTTATTGTCCAGATTATTCACCCTGAGAAAGTCCCGCGAAGTACGCATCGGGCAAAACAATGACGGAAAGATTGACACGAACGGAGGCCGAGTGCGTAGGTACGCGCAACGGCCGAGGACAAAATACAGATAATTAGCAGTAAATAATGACTCGACGATGGAAAAGAACAGCCAGTAATGGGCGATAATACCGGATCCCACGATATCCCGGGGAAGAAGTGTCGTCTCCGCTTTTAAAGAGACGTACACATTCCGCGTATTCCCCCAATTAACGCGCACCTCGTCATTACGAGGC